GAGTGTTTGCCCCGGGACAAAAGATGGAAAAATGGCAGCGAGCCCAGCGATTATTTTCAGATAAACACTGCGAAGCAGAAACGATATTCCTGGATCCAGTAAAATCTTCCCCATCCACCGCTCCGGGTGATCTTTGCCACCGCGACCTCCCAGCGACTCAGCTCCTTCTCCGGCTTTAACGTCTTTGCGAGGAGGAGACAGCGAGTGGCTGTCCTGCTCAGTTGGTGGAAGTGTTTCTAACGAAGAAGAATTTTGCAAGATTTCTATTTATCTGGAGATTTAAAAAAAAAATAAAAAATCTATTGATGGAGCAAACTTCCCTCCTGAAGAGCTTAGTGCTTCCAGTAAATACTTTCTAAATAGAACGTGAGGAACGATCTTGGCGTATTTAGGAAAAGGGATCTGATTCCGTTTGGATGAATTGTGCTGATTTTAGTTTTCCCTTCCCGACCGCGTGTTGTTTCACGTGACCTTTTCTGTCATGGTGGGGATGAACGTTCCTTTGCCAGGGCTTGGGGATTTGTTCTCCGTGATGGTCGTTCCGGTTAAGATTGGCTTCTCGTTAGCCAAATCTGCTCATCGTTCTGAATTCCCCCCTCCTCAAATTACTTTTCTCCTTGAATTTTGCACACGCAGCGTGTGTCGGTGGGGAATACATTCCCCAAATAAGGTGTAGTTAGAGGAAAATGTGTTTAAACCGCTGGGTTTGTGTATTTGTGCTGTGTTTTTTCTCTCTGGGAATGTTTTTCTAGACACTTCAAATGCCTTTTTTTTTTCTGAGCAATCTGATTTGACTCGGGAGAGAATATCCAGGCCGTTGTTTATAGCGAGCTGTAAATGTCAGGAATGCTCCGTGACTTCTCTGCGAAGGATGTTCCAGAAATCGGAGGTGACGCAGTTTCTTTTCTAAACCAGTTCCCAGGTCCTTTTACTTCCACGGAGCCTTCAGAATCAAAATCAGCTCTTGGGATATTTTCTCCCATCTTTTTTCCTCATTTGTCATCCTCATCCAAAGCCGTCTCCCTACCTGCCTCGTTAAGTTGATAAATTACTGCTTTGGCCGTGGGCTTGTCAATGGCTGGAAGCAAAGTTCTTCATTGCTCCGGCTGTTCCTAAAGATGGGACTGGTTGCTCCAAGCTGTTTCGGATCGGTTCTCCTTCAAAAACCCTTTCCCTTCAGCCTATTTGTTGAATAAGCCCCAAAAGGGAAGCCAGCAGAGCTGGGAAAGACCAAGCAAAGCCATATCTCTTTAGTTCTACCTGGATTTTGATGACTTAGGGTTGGTTGTGGCCTTGAATTTCCGAATCTGAACAGCAGGGTTTGTGCCTCTGGCTTTTCCAGAATTACTTTTTGCTGTCGTGCCAGTGTCCCGAAGGAGTTCCCTGTTGCTTCAGTGCTCAGAAAGCCTCGGAGCGTTTTGTTGGTGGAACGGTGCTGAGGTTCCTCTCCAAGGACAGATAAAGCTGACCTCCTCATAGCAGTGATTTGGAACCAGACTGTTGAGTCCATGCTGTCCGTATGGTGGACTTTGAGTGATACCCATCTCATCCATCTTGCAGAGCTGTAGCACGGAGACCCTTTCCTAAGCAAGATCTTACAGTCCACGTCTTGTCGTCAAATCGGAGGTGGGAGAGGATTCAGCAGAGATCCTAAGAGATCTTGTAGACCCAGGATCCTAAAATCTTGGCTCATGCTTTGCCCAAAAGATTTGGGAATAAAGGTGTTGAAGGGAGTTGCAGTAGATTTTTGGGAGCTGCGTGACAGTCATGGCAGAGGTGATGTTGTAAAGCCTTGCTAATCACAGGAGATACATCCAGGGACTTCTCTACACACAACAGTTTGGGGTTTGGTTTGATATATGTGCACATTCCGCCGTGCTTCTGCCACCCTGCTGATCCCCTTCACCCGCAAACATCAAGAGGTAACGGTGCTGTTCTTTGGTGGCAGCTGTGCTGAAAGTGACGGTTGGACTTGATCTTAGAGATCCTTTCCAACCTCAATGATTCTGTGAAATCACTTTTTGGTTTTGCTTTCTTCAGGAAAAGGTCTAATCGGTTTTTGGTTTTGCTTTCTTCAGGAAAAGGTCTCTTTGCTGAAATTTAGAACGGGGGAAAAAAAAGAGGGATTGTGTCCTTTAGTCTGATGGAGTTCATAGAATCCTAGAATGGTTTGGGTTGGAAGGGACCTCAAAGATCATCCAGTCCAGCCCCCCTGCCATGGGCAGAGTTGAGAAATACCAAGTGGGAAAATGAACTAGATGCATCTCACGCGTTAGTAACGGCGTGCCGCGTGACAGACGTAAAAGAACGACCCGTCGTCAGCCGCGGAGTAGTTTTCCCGTTTTACAAAGAGCGGGGGCAGCGGCAGAGAGCGCCTGCGGGGTGCCCGTGCTCTCACCGGTGTCTCTGTCTGCCTCCATTTTGGAAGGTGAGTTTGCCCGAGTCTTGGTGTTAAAATTCCAGGATCCTTCGAGGCAGAATACAACTTCTTCTGCAATTTCTGTCCAGAAAAAAATCTATTTTCAGTAGCAAAAAAAAAAAAAAATCCATGTTTTGTCGCATAGGTGTTTTCTGTAAAGGACAACTGCAAATCCCACGTTTGGAAAAATAGAAGCAGCGATTGGGTTTTCAGGTTTGCCAGGTTCAGGCTGTCCAGACTTTCCCCTTAGATGCAAGGTCAGCTTCAGGTGCCTCTGGTGTCCTCCTCGGAGCTTCTTGAGTAGCGGGCAGAATACAGGGAAGGGATCCGAGGTGGCTTAGAGGAGAATGGAGTTGACTTGCTGTTTGTAACAACGGTTTGTTTGTTTTTCTTTCCCAGAAGAGAAGCCAAAACCAGATCCAGTATTAAAACCACCTTCTCCAGTCCTCAGACCAGAACCTACTGGGGAGAAAAAAGATCAAGCTGGCCAGACGGCTGAGACCACCTCAGTGGAAACCCCACCAGAACTTCCTCTTGCTCCATCGCCAACCCCGGCTGCTCCCGTCGCGGCCGTCTCTAGTGCTGCTGCTGCTGCTGTTGTCACCGTTCCCAGTAAATCCACATTCACAGCTGACTCAGAGGAGAAATGTGAACTGGCTTCCCCAAAAGAGGAGGCAATGCCTATATCCAATGCCGCGCCCTGCACGGACGCATTGGACCCTTCTCCAGTGGAAGAGGCTGATGCCGAGGTGTGCAAGGAGCCTGCTAGTGTAGCATCTAGTGATATCCCAGTGACTGCTAGTACTAATCTAATTAACGAAACGAACGGAGTTAGTGAAATAGTAACTGCTGCAGAGAGCGTAGTAGATGTAGCCCAGGCGGAAGTCGCGCCGTTGACTGTTGAGTTGGAGACACCAGAAGCACCTCCAGCAGAAGTGGAAAGCGTGCCATCTTCCAGTGCTCTTCACGCTGCTCCCTCTCCTCCTCCCACCCCACCTCCCACCCCTCCGCCTCCTTCTCCTCCGATTTCCATTGCTGCTGCTGCTGTTACCACTACAACTCCTTCTCCGCCTCCTCTTCCATCTCCGAGTGCCCTCCCTGTTGTTCAGGGAGATTTAGAAGGAGAGGAGAGCACAAGAACTACTCTTAGCGAAGAGGTGAAAGATACTGAAAAGAAGGAAGAGACAGAAGCGGATGGGCAACTGGAGGAGAGCACGGAAGCTCAGAGTTTAAACTCGAGCAAGAGTCCTGTCCCAGGTAAGCGTTTGGCACCGCGGTTGCGTGCGGTCAACTGGAGGATGAAAGAAAAAGGGTCTTTGGGTGGTTTTTTTTTTCATCAGGTGTTTCCATTTGCATCTGCCAAAGAAAAAATCCGATTGTGCTGCGCGACCGTCGTGGTGATTGCGAAATGCTAATCTTTTGTTTGCAGGGACGAAAAAAAAAACAACAATTCATAATTGTTCATAAAAGAGGTAGTTGCCCCGGGGTTGGCTGGTTCATGGCAGCTGCCAGCGTTCTGCTGTCACGGTGAGACAGGGCAGCGCTCCCAAACGGAGGGATTGGAAGGACGCGGCTCTTGTTCTCGGGTTTGAGGACCTGCTGCTCTGGATTTGTCACCCTGCACCTACACCAGATCGACATTCAGCCCTTGAAGCCCTCTGGGTGAACCTTCTGAACCAGCAGTTCCTGGAAACTGGTGGGATGGGCCAGTGTTGGGTTTTTTTCTTCCAACTGTAAAAAAAGGGTCGTGGTGTTACCAGATGTGAGCGAGTGAAACGGACCGTTACAGCTCTTCCAAGCGTCGCACCTCGATCTGCCCAGCCCTCATTCGCGCTGCGCCTGGTTTTCCTCCGGGAGAGGAACACGGAAGCCAAATTCCCCCTTCTCCTCGCGTTTCGCCATTGTGGAAATTTTCAGAAAACGAGATGCTTTAGTCCGGGAGGTGTAAAGACTTGTTCCAAATTACTGAAAGTCGACATTTCTGTAGCTGCCTTTTGAAATCCGGGCTGTTTTTCTGGGTGTTGCCACCTCCCTTTGGTTTTGATGCCCTGTGGCATCGCTGGTTCAGCGTTTCGTGGGTGGATATAGACGCTCGCCTGTTGTTTGCGGCGTTTTCCGTAGAAAACTGCTTTTTTTTTAGCACTTCCTGGAAATGAAACTGTGGAAAAGAAGTTCCATCAATCAATTCCTTGTATTTAGCTGCTGGAGGGAGTATGATGGTGGCTATTGCGCAGCGTTAAAGCGTTTAAATGTCGTGTCTTTTACACCCTGTTTTGCAGCAATTCCGGAGCTGCGGAGCTGAGGTCGTTAATTTAAATATATCCTTTGAATTTGGTGGAGTTCGGATGAGAAACGAAAGAGAAATAATAGGTTGTGATTTGGTTTATGGAGTTTTTCTTTAAAAAAAAAAAAAAGTAACATTTAAAAATAGGGTGGGTTTTTTAGTTTGTTGTTTCACAAGCAATAGATGTGTAATGGCATCAGTAGCGTCCAGAGTTAACGCTCTGCGTTTATGGATGAAATTAAAGGAAAAGCTGTGATTGGCCCCGTTCCATATTCGTGTAACGCTGCGCTGGGTCAATATGCTGGATCTTCGATAAAATCCAATATCTAGAGAAGATCAGAAAGATCCTTTCGTCATGTGAGCCACAGAGTGGGTTTGTTTGGGGTTTTTTTCTGTGAATCTTTTCTATTTTTATTTCACTCGGGTCATTTTGCTGCTCTGACACTTGCTGATCTTTCAATCTGAGCTACTTCAGAACCCAAATTAATTTCCTTACAACGCAGAGAAATGAGACTCTCTCTAAGATTTCACCCAGCCAGATTCCAGCTGGCGATATTGGTACTGGCTTTGGAACGTCCTGGAGTTTAAATTAAGGGAAAAAAAAAATACTTACGGCGTTTTGAGCTTTTAATTAATGCAGAAGATGAATTTTAATGCTCTGATGTCATTAGGCCAGCCAGCACATCTTAGCCAATACATGGGCTTTGGCAACAGAGAAACAAATATTTCTCAAGTCGTGCAAAAGATCGCTCGAAACTCCGCTTACTATTAAAAGCTCAGTACTTCAAGGAAAGCAAAATCTTCTCCAAGCCAGTTTTTTTTTGGTGTTTTACCCTTTTTTCCACGGGGTAGAACCATACTGTGTTTTTCTGGCGACCTTTTTTTTTTGAGCGATAGTTTTCCAGTTCTTCCTTGGAGAGAGGAAAGGTTTGAGTAACGTCGTCTGAATCGAGGGAACGTCCGCTGCGAATTCCGGCGGCCGTCTGCGCCGAGCGAGGGATCGCATCCCTCTGCCGCTGGGAAACACAGGGGCTGCGTTCAGGAGCGAGGAGAAAGGGCTGGATTATTATGGTTTGTTGTTTTTTCTGGGACTGAAGGCCAAAAGTCTTTTTTTTTACGATCTCTGGAGATGGGGAGAAGGGAAACATCTCAAACACGTGGTGGTAAGCGTGAGCTTTTTTTTTTAATTTTGAGCTTTTCCGTGACTTTTAACAGTATTTCCTTGGAGTTTTTAGCAGAAATGTGTGCTTCTTGCAGCTTGCTTGGCCACAAATCACTCCGCTTTATTCCCTTTGGTGGTACCTACCTGATCTGATTGGACTGGGAGACTGCTCAGACCCCAAAGCTCTAAGAATAATCGAATTCCTGCAGGAAGTGAAGGAGGCAGCGCTTATTCCGGAGCGTCCTTTTCCGAGTTATAATCTGACCTGCCAAAAAATGGGGGGGTTTCTGGATGAGACGTTGATCCACCTCCTCTCTGACGTGGCAGGGTTGAGATTTGCAGGTGTATCCCATGTTTTGCGAGGGAGGCCACAGCTTTTCAGGGGTGAATGAAGTTATTTGCTTGTTCCTCAGAATACACCTTCTACCCAACAGGCAGAGAAGCACCACCTTTATTTTTTCCACTCCGTCAAGCTTTCGTATAGAGGGAGGAACAAGGATGTTCAGCCTTCAGAGGCTTTCCCTTTGGCATCTGCATTATCCAGCAGCTCTTTTTTACAGCCCAAGCAAATAATATTTCAGTATTTGCGGGAGGAGACGGGAGCTGAGCAGAGCTGCCCCTTTTTGGGATCCAGGGGAGCCTCGACTCTTTCTTTTCCCCTGGCATTAGGTCTCTCCCAGATTTCCAAGGTCAGAGGATGTCTACAGGAGCACCTCTGTATGTTCCTATTTTGCAGAAATTGGAGCGTGCTTGGGTTTTCTTTTGATTTTACACTATATTCTATCTACTCTTAATGTCCTCAGTTGTATTAACCTGCAGTTTTAGTGGTTCAGTCTCAATATCTGATAGGAACCAGTTTATCCATAACCTGCTCATCAGCACCACTGCTCTTGCTTAGAATCCCCTGCGAAACGGGGAAGATTTGATGGGTTTCAGAGCATTAAACCACCAAGAACTGCAGTTTTTTTACCCTGCAAGCAGGATGTTGTACCTGGGCGTCACAGTTTCTTGCTGCTGCCCGTGTTTCTGTTCCGAGCGTTTGCCAAAACATGGGAGTAGGGAAGACACGTTCACCCTATTGCGAGCGTACAGGCGGCAGATCTTGTTCCTGCCCCCTCAGGAATTATTATCTTGAGGTTTTCAGGATGGGCAGAGCTGTTATCTGCAAAGGGCTGCTTTTATAATAATGAATTCCTACTCATCTTCATTGCAGGGAAAAAAAACCAACCAGATATTATCAAGAGAACTGAGCTCTCAGCCTGAAGTCCTTACCAAAAACATTGCTCCAGTTACAAGTCATCAACGACACGCAGTGGCTTTTGTTATTAAATTCTGGTTTTTCTCTAGTAGCTTGGCCATCTGTGATGAGAGACCAGCGCTTTTTGGGGAGCAAACGAGGGAAAAGTGTTGTTGGTGGAGTGGAATTTCTAAAGCAGGCGGTGATCCCGGAGACTCGAAGCTTTTAGGACATGCTCCGAGTGCCTGTCTTTGATGTCATCTTTCCATCGTGGCTGTTAACGAGGAGCAAAGAGGAAAAGAGGAGATTGATGTCTCATCCCAGGCAGAGCTCCCAGGAACGTAGGAAGCCAGAAGAGCTTCATACACGTTGAATTCAAAGGGCTGTTTCGTGCAGAGCTGGTTTATGGGACATGTTTCGATATAAAGCAGCCCAACTCACTGCGGGTCCCGGCTTTCTTAGCTGTGGAGGCTGTAACAAAGCAACTCGGGGCAGGAATTAGGAATATCTTGGAGAAATACTTCCAGCACCCAAGGCTGGAGAGCCAGAAACATCAATCAGGTATCACCTTTTTCTTGATCCGCTGCCGTAGCCTACTGGAATGTATTTTTTCTTTCCCATAAACTGGAAGGCGGTGGGTTTTAACAGCACGTTGGCTAAAAAAATAAAAATATAAGAGCTGGTATTAATTTCTGCTTAGCAGTTGGCAGCCACATCAGAGAGGAGACTGGCTTCTCTGGTGGGGGAGAGACAGACATTCCGCTGAAGAACGTGGTGTAACTGGAGAAATGGGTTGAGGGTAACGCGTAGGGTCTGCTGAGCAGATTTCTCTTCACCAATAGCCATGTCCAGGATAGTCTGGAAATGAGGATTTTGTTCCTCTTTCCAGTCCTAATGTAAATCAGTGTAAGCAGTGATAAATGAAGAGCTCCCAGTGCTGGTTAGGCAGCGGTTCGCTGGGTCGACTGGTGTCCCTTCTCCCATCGGAAAGAAATGACCACCTCACGCGTCGAAGCGGGCTGGAAACAAGCTTTGGAAACGTGTCAACGCTGGCAAAGATGAGCAGGAGTCCGGCTCGTCGTGTGCACGCAAAGGTGCTTAACTTGGAAGATGGGAAAATTGAGAGAAAGACCAGGAGCATCCAGAGACCTCCCTTGGCAAGCGCCAAAGTGGACAACGCTACATCTTTGTTTCCCTACGGCTCATGGAGCTGGAACTCAATTTTCAGATAGCGCCATTGTCCTGGTCAAATTTTGGATTTGGGAGGGTCAGCACCCAAATTCGCTTTAATTTTCAAAGCAAATATTAGTGTGAATCCTCCTGTTGAGTCAGTTCCTGGGGCAGAAGTGAGAACAGAACAAAATTTGATGTCTGCTGTTGTAAGAAGGAGGAGGAAAAACTGGAGCAACGTCTCTGGAGATCTCACCAACCTACCCCCGCAACACGGGCCGGGGTTCGGAAGGAGTTTTACACGCTGGGAAACCGCAGGGCCAAGCGGAGGCTGCTGTGTCTTGGGATTCAAAAAAAGGGGAAAAAAGTATAACATTGAGAAGCAATAATGTTAACATTGTGACAGCTGGAGAAACAGCCCAGACCTTTGCCAACCCCAAATCCATGACCTCGAGTTTATTTCTGTGCATTTGTAAATGAAACGTCGTTTTACACCGTGGATGTTTTCCATAGCGTAGTTTGAGCTTGAGCGCAGCGAAATTCTGGAAAATTAAAGACTTTGGGGTTAATCAGTTAAATTACTTGGCTGTGGCAGTATTTAGGTCGTTACTGTGCAGATGTGACCTGCTCCTTGAAGAAATCCCCCCAAAAGCGTGGAAGTGGCATCACTGAACGCAAAGGCATCATATTGTGGCAGTGGGGCTTGATGTCCAGCCTTGAAACTATGGGTTGACTTTAGAAAAGCACCGAATTTTCCCTAAATTCTAGCAAATTTCGTGGTGGAGGGAACCGCAGAGCCTCACTTAGGTCCACGCTTTGCTAAATCACCAAAATTACCACCGGCGTGGACACTTGGTCCTTACCCAACCCTGGTTTCACCCCGGGACGGTGAGAATAACTCTGTGATTCTTACGAGGGTGCCGTGAACTTCTGTTCCAGTAAGAAAAGCTGATCCCCAGTTGCGTAAGGCAAAGCTGTTTGGCAATCCCAGCCTGCTTGGCTGCTTCTCTCCACTCCTTTGAGCCCCAGGAAGTTCAGGATTCCCGCTGGGGCTCTGCTCCGCTCTTAAAGCTTCTCCGTAGGGTGCTGCGACGGATGGGGCGTGCGGGACGCGGAGCTCGGCAAACCCACGTGATTTTGTTTTCCAGCTCTTCCATGAACCATCAGTTCTGTGAACCACCAGATGACGTTTGAATATTGGCATTAAACTTTTTTTTTTTTTTTTTAATTAACTTTTGCTTTTGTAGATAAAAACTTCTTCTCGGCGGCGACGGCTGCTGTCGGGCTGTGGGTCGGGGCCGGCGTGCTGAGCGTAGCGTGATGCCGCAGCGTTCCCGCGGGTCCGGAGTCGCCCTCGAAACTGGGAAACGCCGTCGAGGAGCCGCTGAGGCTCCTACGTATCTTTTGGGGCAGCGAAGATGCAACAAATCCAGTTTCCTCGGTGCCCGGAGGAACGCCCCGAGCCGTTTTGAACACCCTTTTCATTCATCCGTAGTTGAAGAGCTTTTCAAAATTGTATTTTATTGCCATAAGTGCACACTGTGGGGGTTGTGGATTTTGTTTTTTCCCCATAATATCTACTAGAAAGCAAAGGCTGGAGCTGGAAATCTGTTTGCAGTAAACCTCAGTCACGGAATCAGTTCTCTTTACGCCCCGTGTTCAAGGCACATATGTGCCAGTATCAGAATTTAAGCCAGTAGCGCTTGCGACAAATTGGGAGCATATTGGCTTTAATGGTTTTGTCTCCTCTTAATATATTGTGTGGTTTCTTTTACTCTGCATGGGCGGAGGGAAAAAAAAAAGTGATTAGAGTAAATTACTGCTGATCTTAGAAATATTATATGGTGTTTTCTTTGAATCTCTTGGCCGGGGAAATGAGTGACTGGTGTTGTTGTTAACCTGCTTTTAAACTGGAATGTCAGTCCAGCTGGGGAGAGCTGGTAGCGCTGCAGGAGCGGAGGAGTTGTCCTTTCGGATGAGACATTGGAAATTTTGGCCTGTTCATGGTTATGGTTTATGGTTAATATTATAATTCTTATAATACTCCTTGAGAAAAATATGTTGACAATAATCTTCACTCCTGGCCAATGCTTGATCTTTCTTCCAAAAACAAAAAAAATCACTTTCTTGAAGGTTTTCTTTTGCCCTGCGTGATCCTTGTGCTGTTGGTAATAAACTCCTCGCTATCACAAGGACCATTTCGAGCTCGAATGAGCAACTTGTAAAACAATTACCGCGTCTTAATGGCACCCTAACGATTTTGTTGTTACTGCACTGAAACCCAAAGTGCTTGTATCAAGCAGAATCCTCCGCCAGGCTGCGACTGGTTCGTTTTCCTGGACGTCACACCGGAGCGCGAGAGGGAAAGGGCATCGCCCGCGGCCAAATGGGCTCGGTCTAATGTGGAGTTGTAATGGATGTACGCTTCCATTGCAGCCCAGACAGCTGTAACTGCACCAAAGACGTGGAAGAAACCAAAAGACCGGACCCAAGCCACTGAGGAGGTGATGGAGGCAGAAACAGAGGTAAGGGGGAACCACAGTCCGAATTTCTGATTTATTTATCCGGATTTAGTGATGGTGTTGCTCTTTTGAAACTGTATTTTAGAGACGTTGCTTCCTAGTTGTCTCGCAAGGATCCAGGGCAGACTTTATTTTGGGGAGGAAACGGTGATATTCCCCAGCGTCCTTTAGAGATCTGGTTTTTGTCTGTTCCCTGTTGGAGCTCTTCAAGCTTTCCTTGTTCCTGCTTAATTTAACGACCCCCATCATTCGAGAACGTGTAGCTGCTATCCTTCCAGCGAAGGATGAGATAAAAGTGGGTTTGAATCCCTTAGCGTTGCCCCATTTTGGGTCTCCGAGGCCACCGTGGTGACATCTGGTAGGTTCTGCTGCACGGTGATGTCATTGTGATGTCATGGCCGAAGGGCAGTGGCCCTCATGAGCACCCGACGGAGAAGCAGGGAAAGGAAGATGCTGAAGATTTCAGGCAAAACCACCTTGATGGTAATTAGATGAGTAATGAAAACGTCCCTTGCTGCCGTTCTGGCAGGGTTGTTGCAGGAGAAACCTCATTGTTTAATATCCTGGGTAAAATTGGGGTTAGAATGGATCACAGAGGGAGTTAAGAGAGAAAAATGTAGAAGTTCAGACTGCCCTGTGCCTATATAAAAACTGTTGTGGGCCAGATGTGACGCAGAGGCATTGCTGCTTCCCTCCACATTTTTCAGTTATTATTCGTCTGCTGTTTCAAACATCGTTGAATTTTTCCGCTCTAAAAACGTGTTGTTGCGAGTCAGTCTTGAGTCCAGTGGACGGTGTTTCATCCTTCGCATAAGCGCTGGCAGCTTCTCCACCGAAGCAGCAGATGGGCTCGTTGACACGTTATGAACAGTATCTAAGTGCTCCCCTCTCTGTTTGTGGAGGACCTGGACAGGCTGGAGAGGTGGGCCTGGGCAAACCTCATGAAGTTCAGCAAGGCCAAGTGCAAGGTCCTGCACGTGGGTTGGGGCAATCACCAACACAAGCACAGGCTGAATGGAGAATGGATGGAGAGCAGCCCTGAGGAGAAGGACTTGGGGGGTGTTGGGTGAGGAGAAGCTCACCATGAGCCGGCACCGTGCGCTGGCAGCCCAGAAAGCCAACCGTGTCCTGGGCTGCATCCAAAGCAGCGTGGGCAGCAGGTCGAGGGAGGGGATTCTGCCCCTCTGCTCTGCTCTCCTGAGACCCCCCTGCAGTGCTGCGTTCAGCTCTGGGGTCCCCAACACAAGAAGGACATGGAGCTGTTGGAGCAGGTGAAGAGGAGGCCACAGAGATGATGCGAGGGCTGGAGCACCTCTGCTCTGGAGACAGGCTGAGAGAGTTGGGGCTGTTCAGCCTGGAGAAGAGAAGGCTCTGGGGTGATCTTATAGCAGCCTTCCAGTACCTAAAGGGGCTACAGGAAAGCTGGAGAGGGGCTTTTTCCAAGGGCGTGTAGTGATAGGACAAGGGGCAACGGATTTAAACTGAAAGAGGGGAGATTTCGATGGGATCTAAGGGAGAAATTCTTCCCTCTGAGGGTGGTGAGGCACTGGCACAGGTTGCCCAGAGAAGCTGTGGCTGCCCCATCCCTGGAAGTGTTCAAGGCCAGGCTGGATGAGGCTTTGGGCAACCTGGTGTAGTGGAAGGTGTCCCTGCCCATGTCAGGGGAGTTGGAACTGGATGATCTTGAAGGTCCCTTCCAACCCAAACCATTCTGTGATCCTATGAATAGATGCTTCGAACACTCACGTGCGAGGTACCACACTGCGACAGCTGGTCTGTGCGCAATGGAAAAGCTGATGCTTGGGTGATCCAAGGAAATGAAAAGCATCCCTACGCTCGTTTTCAAGCCAGCACGTTGGTGCTCTCTGTACACTTTGTTTGTCATTTGTTGGAGGAGTCTTGTCTCCTGGACCACTTGACGTTTTCACCAACGCTGATTTTTCAGAGTATTCCCTTGAAAAATACGCCAAAAGCCCTTTAGGCTGTAGCATCTCTGGGTGGGGAGGCGAAAGGATCGAGAGCCTCTTCCGGAGCGTCCTCGCTTAAGCCTTTCCTTTGTTTAACGCTTTTAGACGTGTTGGGGTATCTCCCAGGAGAAGCCGTAGGGCTCACCGGTGCCTTCCATCCGATCCCAATAGCTCCCGAGGATTTCACGGGCAGCGCTGAGTCTTTCCAGTTTCACTGTTAATTGTCGGTGGGTTATCTCCAGGAGCGAACCGATAAATCAGCCGGTTGTTCTGCGTGTTGTTGCAGATGTCCGTAGCGCCGTTTAAGATCCACGTGTGTTCCTGTTACGTGCAAAAACGCCGTAGGAATAACTGAGGAGCCGTTTCGCGTGCTTTGAATTTTGGCAGGGTGTTTTTAACGTCACCCTCTGTGTTTGCATCTGTGCTTCAGCCTAAGGTAGAAGAGGAACCTTCAGGTGACAAAGTACTTGAATCCGAACAGGAGAAGATGAGCCACGGGTTTCAACTGGAGAGAGACCCCTCTGAGCTTAAAAAAGCAAAACCTGTGGAAGAAAACGGCGAGCAGGAAGCGGAACCTGTCCGGAACGGTGCCGAGAGCGTTTCAGAGGGAGAAGGAACCGATGTGAACTCCGGCTTCACAGAGAGCTCCGGCGAAGGGCCGGTGTACCAGTACAAACCAGGTAACTCCTGTCCCAGACTCGTGCACGCTCGCTCGCTTTTCTGCCTCCCTGCCTTTGAGGGATGCTGACGTCCCGTGCATCCTCCCCACGTTCCACCGTGTCTGGCTTTGCCAGGGTCTGCTCACCAACAGGCTCAGGGAGACTTTCTTGGAGCGAGTGCGAGAGGAAAGTTGTTTTTCTCTTGCTGGTGGTCATGAAGAGAAGAGAAAATCCCCAATTCCTCGAATTTCTTGCGTGGGTGGCTGTTGGCTGCAGCACAGTGGAAATGCCGACGAATTGGTTCCCCCTGTGATCGATCCCAAAAATTCCATCTAAGCCGATTTTTATTTCTTAAATAAGAGATTTGAAAGTGCTGATTGGGTGCTACATTATGAGCGTGTGTGTTTATATAGATTTAATTTCCTGGCTGAACAGTTGCATTTTAGAAATCTTCAGGTTTCTAAAAGGATAAGGAAAAGAAAAGAAAGTGGGTTTGGGTTTCAATCCAGGCTCTGCTGTTGAACTGTGAGCGTGCAGTTCTTTTGATGAAGTAATTCAACAAATACAGTATACCTAAGGGGTGGGTTTGTTATTTATTGAGATATTTAGTTTGTAGACCTGAACCTCTGTTAATTCACCGCGTTAAGAGAGACCTTGAGACCGACTTCTCAGCTGCTACCGATTTTCAAGCCGTTTCTTATTCAGGTGAAGTTCCCTCCAGATAAATCAGCCATTTTCTTAGGAGCCCAGAAATTAAAGAGTATCAAAAAAAATAAGGCAGGACCTTGAGAACCTGGTGGACGAGGTGTTGGACAAGTGATGACACTGCAGTTGTTACTTCTGCGCCGCTTTGTTCTGACAAAGACCCGAGTTGGGGATCTGGAAATTGCGCCTGTGACGCCGCCCAGCTGCTTTTCACGTTAGAATGGCTTGTTCAGATCTTTCCAGGAGAAGGAAACTGTAGCTATCAACTGTTTCTTGTCGCCATCGGTGCTTTTCCACGATAAACGGAGGGTGTCGTGGCACAGTGGATAGGCAGCTGCCAGGAATTCTGGCTGGGATACAGCTGGCCAGCCAAACCGTTCTCCTGCACCCCTTTATCCCGAAGCTCTGTAGAAATAAAACTGCACAAAGAGCTAAAAATTGTAATTACTTCTGGGTCTTTTCGTTCCCAGTTATTAAAACCCATCGTTGCAATAAGTTTCCGTTTGTGGCCTCTGCAGGGATGAGGATGGTGAGAATCCAGAGACTTAAAGCCACTGGTCAGGGACTGAAATAAAGAAATGATAGAAAACCGTAACGGGAACCCGAGCGGCTGGAAAAGCGCAAAGCAGCGCCGTGTGGCATCAGGGAAATACGAAAGCAGCATCTCCTGCAGATGTTTTCCTTCCAAAAAAACCATGCCACCCGCTGAGGGACCTGCCTCACCAACCTGGCTGCTGAGCAACTCCGGGTTTTCTTTCCTACTTTGAACCAAACTGTGCGGCCGGCAAAGAAAATCCCATCTCTGGGCTACCGGATGCTCATTTTCCTTGCCCGGGAGCGGCCGTAGGTTTGTATTTTGATTTGCATGAGGCAAGGTCCTCTACACCGCAGCCCTGCTGCCCGGAAAGCCCTCAAAAAAAGGGTTAAAAGTTGTCATATTTAGAGCGTGGCCCGCAGTTGTGTTCCCACCGTTGTCTCCAACGTGGGTTGGAGAGGACTCGGCATTTTCGCGCTTCCCAAGGATCTTCCCAAGCTCTCCTCCCCTCGGCTCCGCACTTGTTGCTCTGCGACACGAAACTTGAACCTCTGCATCCTCACCCTATGGCATCCAGTCATTATTAGCCAGCTGGACTGAGTTGAATATAATGAACTACTAATTAATTAATCAACTCAAGGTACCGACCCTGCCCACAAGAGGCAGGCCATTTCCTCCTGGCTGCAGAAGATGCAACCGCGTCCTTGGTGCTGGAGCCCAGGCTGGTGAGCAACAACTGGTGACCCCGACGTGATACATCCATGAGACCCTGGGAAGCCCCGACTCCCTTGCCGGAGCCGAGAGCCTGAGCCAAAAGAGCTGGAGCCCGAGCCGGAGCCGGGAGCCCGAGCGAGAGTCCTTTGGAGAAGAAGGTAAAGCTGCAAGCCCCGACATGGTATTCGCGGGAGGGAAGCGTGCTGGAGTTGGATGAATGGGCCGGGTCTCTGCTCACCTTAAAGCCTTCGTGAAAACAAAAAATGGTAAAACAAAAAGGGGGAATTATGGCATCCAGTCATTATTAGCCAGCTGGACTGAGTTGAATATAATGAACTACTAATTAATTAATCAACTCAAGGTACCGACCCTGCCCACAAGAGGCAGGCCATTTCCTCCTGGCTGTGGAAGATGCAGCGGCGTCCTTGGTGCCGCAGCCCAGGCTGGTGAGTGTCATCACCCGGCATCTGAGAATCGTCCCCGTTTTGTTGTGTCACACGAGAGAGCGGAGGTCAGGGCTGGAATGGGACGACGTGGGATCAAACCTGGATTCGTGATGAGTTCCCTGCGTGGTTTTAACTTTGATTTTCATTTGAGTTTCCCAGGCAGCTGTAGGAATCTCCACCTTTTGAGTTTTGCTGGAAACACGTCTCGGAGAGCGGAGGTTTTTGTTACCCACGAATCTCAGGCACCTTCTCTCCTTACAGAGCAGTGGAAGCCCCTGGACCCGGAGGGGAAGAAGCGGTACGACAGGGAGTTCTTGCTGGATTTCCAGTTCATGCCTGCCTGTATCCAAAAGCCGGAGGGGCTGCCTCCCATCAGCGATGTGGTTCTCGACAAGGTGAGAGGAGAGCCGATAAAACAGGTGCGTGCCTTTTTTTCTTTTTTTTTTTTAATAGAAATAAAGATTCCCTAATACATTCTTTATTCCTGGACTGTTTCGCCACAGGCTTTTGTTGGGAAAGGGGAAATATTTGACTGATTTTGCATCACAAAATTCTTCATGTAGAGACGCTGGTGCCTAATGAACGTGCAGAGATTATTTAAAAACTGAAGCGTTTTTAATGGTCTCTGTTTGGATTAAGTTCTACTGTTATTAAAATCGGAACCGATACGGCCGGGAAGACGTAAGGATATAAGCAAAGCGAGACTGAACGGAGAGGCAGTGTCTTTTATTAGATCAATTCCAGTTATTTTGGGCAAACTTCTTCTGGTCTGAAGCAGTTGTGTCGTTATCGATGAGCTGATCTAATAAAAGGTCTTTAAAACCTGGACTCTCAAGAAGTTTTGTAGCTTCTATCCAGCCTTATTACAGATGTGATTGTCTCTGCCATGTGTCTGTGCTTGTTGAAATACCGATTATTTCTGAAGTGCTGACACCAAGACCGTATCTTCGTCTCCATTGGAACTACGTAGTTTGTCGATTTTTGACGTAACCGCTACAAACTCGCTCTCAGGTTTGAGCACGGCTCAGGACATGGGTGATCCTCACGTGCAGAAACATTTCTGCTCTGAATTTCATACCCGGACAAATTGTAAAAAGCGGGTTTGTTCCCGAAATTATTTCATCCACCTGTGGAGCTTCTCGCTGCTCCGTCTGCTTTTGAGCGCTCTGAATTTCATACCTGGACAAATTGTAAAAAGTGGTTTTGTTCCCGAAATTATTTCATCCACCTCTGGAGCTTCTCGCTGCTCCGTCTGCTTTTGACGCTCTGAATTTCATACCTGGACAAATTGTAAAAAGTGGTTTTGTTCCCGAAATTATTTCATCCACCTCTGGAGCTTCTCGCTGCTCCGTCTGCTTTTGAGCCTCCTTCGCTCGGTCAGCCGCGTGTCTTGTTAACACAAAAGGCATTTGTTGGAGGGAAGGTGCCAGTTTGGTGATCCCGAGCCAAGACTGTCGCATCCGTTTTGCGGAAGATGGGTCCGTGTTGCCGTAGTTTTATCCTCCAGAACTCAGGTTCAGCCTTGAAATGTTTCTGAACTCCACCCATGTCCTCAACAGTCACGTGCAGAAGACGTATTTTAGATCAAATGCTTGTTTTCAGTGTAAGCGCGGGTGCATAAAACTCACTCAGTTTGTTCAAAGCGTTAATTCGGATGTTAATTATGACTATTACGGTTTAGCAGAGGTTGTCTGTAGACCTGCGTGAACTTTGGCAGCTGCAGCACCCGCTGAAGGGATCCTGTTTGTTTGTTCCGCTCCGCGATGCAGGTCAGCCAGCCGAAGCTGCCGCTGAGGACTCTGGACCCGCGGATACTGCCTCGAGGCCCGGACTTCACGCCAGCCTTTGCCGATTTTGGGAGGCAAGCCCCTGGTGGAAGAAACGTAGCTGGAAGTGTGAGTTTACCCCAACTTGCTAACTTAAAAATTGGCCGTGCCACCAATGAAGTCCGTCCTCACGCTTTTGGGCCTCAAAAAAGGTTGTGGTTTTGTCAGGCTGCACGCAAGGGTGATGTTTTTCTTGGCTGTCAAAATTTAGGCAAATTAGAAAGACGTGGCGGCTGGTTTTTGACTGGTACGTATTGGTCTTAAAAGGATTTGATCTCCTTCCCCTTTTTCCCGCGCGAGAGGGGTGGGAACGCGTTCCCACGCTGAGGACCTGGCAGTCGCGCGTGTGCGAACGCGCGTCTCTCCTGCAACAAACCCGACGTCGGTGTGTGGCATCGTGGGAGTCTGTTTTCTAGAACGAGCAAATAGAGCAAATAGAATTTACTAACCAAAAAAATATATCTACGCAGCGCCTGCGTACGTTGGCGCTTTCTCCGTGCTTCCGCATGTCGCTTTGCTTCGATCGCCTCATTCTTTGTTTTCCTGCCTTTTCCTCTGCTTTCCTTTCCCTTCCTCTTCTTTTCCCTGTGTCTGGCTCTGCCCAAACACCGAAACCCCTCTCTGTATTTTTCCTTCTCGCCTTGTCGTCCCTCGTTCTTGGGGCACGGGTGCCCCCAGCACGGTGCCGCCCACTCAGCCGCAGCTGGAGGATGGAGGCTGCCACTATTAGGTGCAATCGTTAGTTTTTCATCTATCTATCGAGATACATCCGATGTATCCAGCTCGATACATCTCGTGACACAGCCGTCGTTTATCTTTCAAAACTGCTGGTTTCAGAAGAGTTCGCTTAATAACCTTGACTTCCAAGTGCGCGGATTTCCAGGAGGCTCAGAGTGAAACCCGGCGATTTTGAGTTGATGTGTTGTTTCTGGTTGGAGAGGGGTCTCGTGGCCGGTGGCTCGGATCTGGGTTGTGCATCCATGTCTTGGAGTAGCTTTGATGCCCCGGGTTCTCTCGGAGCGCCGCCCGGTCCCGAAACCTCGATGCTGTTTGAGGTCGACATCGTTTCCCGTACTTGGGACTGGCAGGTCCGGTGCCTTCTCTCCTGTCGTGCGCCGAACGCCCCCAGCTCTCGGCCTCTCGGTAACGTCCCTGTCGCTCTTTCTCTTTCTGCAGGCCTGCAAAGTGCAGAGCAACCCTGGATTGCCTTCCCTGGCTCGGTGCGGTTCCCCAGCATGCCCTCTCTTGGTCTCGCCTCACCCACCATTGAGGAACCTGCCGATAGGGGTAAGCCAAATCCCCCCCTCTCCCCCCCAGATCTTTGCACCTTTTTGTAGAGTTGTCTTTTTCCCTAACACCCACTGTTGATAAAAGAACGACTGGCAGAAAACTTTACAAAAAGGTGCAACCTTGTTTAAAAAAAAAACGAAACCAGACTTGCATTGTACCCCTCTAGGCAGTCTTCAGTGGTGGGTGGGACATCACCAGCTGAGGGCATGCTGGGACGTTGGCCTGAGCGGGATCCGCGAGGGGTCTGCACTTTGCAGACCTGTGGAAAGGGGGAGAAAAGGTAAGTCCCGCTTACCCCGTTCATTTGGAGCATTCAGCACATAACATACATCTTACATCTGCGCCTTTCCAGAGCAGAGCCCTTCTTTGCGTTTTTTTTTCTCGAGGAGGGGTCAGAAGGTGACGTTGCGTAACGAGCCCCGCTGGCCTGCGACGGCGGCGGTCGTAGGATGAGAGGGTTTTCGGCCCCGAGCGATGCCGGACGTTACCTCCTCGTCAAGCATGGCAAAAACCTGCGTGTTGGCTGTCTGCCCGCTCCGCCATTCCACCTCTGCACAGGCCATGCCCATAAACCATCAAACCCCACCGCCTGTTCCTCGCCTCTCGGAGTAACGTCGAGCAGCTCGGCGCTAACAAGCTTTCGGCACGCGGACAACCTTTTGTTTTGCTTCCTTGGCTTTTTTTGTCTCGGTTTCCTCCTGTTCGCTTAAACGTGTTGCGTGGCCGGTTTGAGAACTAACAAGCGTCGCGTCGGACAACGCGAGGGGTGTCGTCACGCAGGGACGAAACGCGGCCGAGAAACGCTTCTTGCTGTAGACAAGGAGTTAGACGAGCGCAGTAGGTAACTGCAGGAACAGCGTTGGAGAGGACCGGTCACGTCCGCGCGCGCCGAGGCGGGACGCGGCTGCTCTCATCCTTCCTGAGAGGTGACGGAAACCGGAGTCACCTCGATTCTTGTGCCGCCCTGGAAGGCCGAGTCGCTCGTGGCATCAAACCTCAGTTTCACCTTCTGTGTCTGCAGCCCGGTGCAGAGGGAGAAGCAGTTCTTGGGTTTCTTGGATGCTTCTTACAACGTTTCCGGGACTGTGTCCTGAGAGCGGAAGCGGATCGTGAAGGAGAGCACCAGGTCGTGCTGTGGCACTCTTGAGTTTTTGGCTCCTCTGCAGGAGACTGGTCCCTCTTTCTTTCTGCTTTCCTTTTTTCCCTCCCCTTTTCATCCAGAAGACAGGTAATTCAGATTAATGTAGTAACATCTGGTAAGCACTTCTCCGTGCTTTTGGTGGAAAATATTATTCCAGGGTCAGCTGTAGCGCTGTAGTCGCCGGTGCTACAGATCCATTATTATTTACTTGGACTGGGTGAGAAAAATGAGGACAGGCATGAGCTCAAGCGCCTCTTTAACTTGGCACTTTGTCAATCTGGAACCAAAAAACCCCGGATTTTTTCTGTTAAAAGTTGGATCCGTATATTATTTTATTACACGTCCAAAGGAGGCTTCTCTTGACTGATTTTAAAACCTGATCGAACAGTTTCAACCAAGTTTATTCACAGACATTAAAAAAAATACACTCTTAAAGAAAGTCTTTGTTCTATTCATGTACTTAAAGGTCTGATCTCGAAGGCAGCTGGATTGGAGAGTCATAGAATCATGGAATCACAGAATGGTTTGGGCTGGAAGGGACCTTCAAGACCATCCAGTTCCAACCCCCTGCCATGGGCAGGGACACCCTCCACTACACCAGGTTGCTCAAAGCCCCATCCAGCCTGGCCTTGAACACTGCCAGGGATGGGGCAGCCACAGCTTCTCTGGGCAACCTGTGCCAGTGCCTCACCACCCTCAGAGGGAAGAATTTCTTCCTCAGATCCCATTGAAATCTCCCCTCTTTCAGTTTAAAGCCATTGTCCCGTGTCCTGTCACTCCCCGCCCTTGTCCAAAGCCCCTCTCCAGCTTTCCTGTAGCCCCCTTGGAGAAGGCTGTGACGTGTAATGTGCTGATATTCGGGCAACACACGAGTGCTCCTTGCATCCCTCAGTCGTGCAAAGAAAATCAGTCATCTCCTTCAGCCGTTTGCTCCAAAAGCCGCCGCTTTGGCTTTGCGTGGACCCGTATCCGAGGAAGCGCCCGCTGTGCCTCTGCCCTCGTGCGTTGCAGCCCTTCTGCCCTTGGAAGGTCCTTCAGACCAGAGCCACCTCTGCCCAAGAGAGACGGGGTGGCTGCAGGTTACCTCTCGTTGGCTTTGCCCGTGTTCCTGGCAGAAACGAGGCCAAAAGTTTGGATTTTCAGGACGCGCTGCCAGCCTGGCTCTGGTTACCAAGTTGTCCGTGGGCAAGGAGGTGTGTGATGAGGTCTAGTGCACGTGGCTGAAACTGGCCAGTTTTCTGTTGCGTTGTTGTCTGGTTTTTCAGCCAGAGGGAAGTTGTTCAGCCAGAGGGAAGTTTCTTCTTTCCACGGCCGGACGTTTGCAGCGTGGTTAGAACCTGGGCAGCGAAATTGTGTGAAATTGTGTAAAAACAGAGGTGGGTGTCTCACGGCAGGGCTGCGAAGCAGACTTTGCTGCGTCACGCGGGTGTCGATCGGGGGCTGCGAGTGGGAGCAGAGAGTGGTCGTAGGGAGGGATTGAGTGTTTGACACCCAAAAGCATCGTCAAGGCTCTCCGTTCTCGCTGGCTCGTCGCACCGTTGGTTTCTCGGCAGCGATCGGCTCGCATGGTTGCGTTACGATGACGGCTCGTGCCCAGAAAAGTTTCGGTGATCCGATTTCCGTGCGCGCCAGCGGGGTCTGGGCGGAGGTCGTGATGGGTGGCGGGGCACGTCGTGGCGTGAGGTCGTTCAGCATCTTACTCCGTTGCTGTCGTGGTGTAGCGAAGCCCATGAGAGCTCCAGCAGCGGCGGCGATTGTGTTCGTTCGCTTCCATCAGCGGCACGCGTTTACATCGTCGAACCGAGCAGTTTAAATTGCAGCTACAAGCTCCTGCCTTTAAGGAGGGGTTTGATTTTTATCTAAATTGTGCAAAAATGGATTTGGGGCTTAGATATGACGTGAAGCACCAGCCAAGAGCCTCTCGTCTTGTATTGAGTGAAGCTGTTTGAATAACTGAGATGGTTTTGCCTCTCGAGGAATCCCTTTGTTGAACAAAGAAATGTTTTAAACATTTCATGGCTTTCATGTGGAGGTTGCCTGCTGCCCGCTGAAGAGATGGATGACTGCTGTGGGAAGCAGTGGGGTTTGAGAATGGAGTTTAATTGCTGCGCTAGTTTTACGCTGAGGTTGAACGTTTCTGATAAATGAGCTCCGAAATACGAAAGAGCGCGGGGGATTAATAACCTACCGGCAGCGTTCCGTACCTCTAGTCCTTCATCGGAAGCTCCCAGATGACGAAGAGGGAGTTTGGGCGTGTCTTGTGCCCTTTCACTTGTACAACTGATGAAAAACTCGCTGGTTTTGGCAGTTTTCACACCTGGTTTGACCAGGAGATTGCAGGGAAACGCTTGATGCTCTTTCGAACAAAGTACCGCGCTTCCCTTTCTTCTTCGGTGAAGCTACGAAGAGTTTGACCCATGTTTGTTAGGATTCGTGTTTCTGCAGTGCAGGAGCAGCACTGGTGCTCCGTTCAGTGTTTTATATAATTCCTGTCTCAAAATGCCTCTGTTGGAAGCAATCTCCAGTAAAACTGAACGTTTCTGGCGGATTTATCGTTAACTAATTGCTTGGGATGGCACGTTTGAAATACCCCTGATTTAACCCTTACATACACCTTTGCTACATGTCTCAGTTATGTGGATTCTGGCTTTCAAGAGGCTGTTTTGGCCAGTTGGGTTCAGTTCTGCAGCACTTAGGCAGCATCCGGAGCATCGCCGATGCGTGTAGGCGGTGGTCATCCCTTACCTGTTTCAGAGAAAAGCTGCCCAAGAGAAACATGTTTTGGTGTCTTTGTGTTCCCTCTGACCAAGCCGGACTGGTGTGTCAGGTCGGAGGGAGTCCTCAAAGTCCCAGGAGGAGTTGCTGATTGTTGGCGTTGCCATCAGCGGGTGTTGGCATTCGCCCTGGAGTGTTTTATCAAGATGCCAGTTTAAAAGGGGATATAACAAGGAATGTTTTTGTCCTAGTTGTTGAATGTTGGACCGAGGAGATCTCAGCCAGGCCAGAGGAGAGAGCCCAGGAAGATCATCACCGTGTGCGTGAAGGAGGACGTCCACCTGAAGAAGGCAGAGAACGCCTGGAAGCCAAGCCTGAAGAGGGAGAACCAGACCGAGGACCCGGAAAACGTCAAAACGCAGGTGAGAGCATAGAATCACAGAATGGTTTGGGTTGGAAGGAACCTCAAAGATCATCTAGTTCCAACCCCCCTGCCATGGGCAGGGACATCCTCCACTACACCAGGTTGCCCAAAGCCTCATCCAACCTGGCCTTGAACACCTCCAGGGATGGGGCATCCACAACTTCTCTGGGCAACCTGTTCCAGTACCTCAGCACCCTCAATGTAAAGAATTTCTTTCTTAGATCTAACCTAAATCTCCCCTCTTTCAGTTTAAATCCATTGCGCCTTGTCCTATCACTACATCAGCCAGCGCTTCCGAGTGTGGTGGGCTGTAACAGGAGGGTGGTGATTTGCCTTTGCTGTTGTGTAAGACTGTAAAAAAGGGCAATGAATTCCAGTTTGGATCACAGCTTTGCCCTGCCTTGGCTATTTATTTATTTTTTCATGTGTTTCTTCTCGACCTGGAGTTTAAATGGCAATGCTGGATATTAAGCGAGTCTAAATAGGGAAACCAGACAACCTACTACCTCTCTCCCAGATCGTTTTTCTGTTGCTATTTCACTGGAATATTTCTGTCTCCGTTCTAAAGCAAACAGCCTCAAACTTCCAGCACAGAACTTGCTTTTCATCCCCTTTTAGACTACATTTCTGCCCTGAACCTCAGCAAGACTGAGGTTCCTCTGTCGGTTCGTCCTGCCCAGCCCACCAGCGCCGTCTCTGAAGCTTTCTCTGTGTCTTCCTCCCCCTCCTCTCCTCCGTGGGGCTGCCGCGCTGGGCGGAGGTGTTTGCCTGGTGGTCAAACTCAGAATTTGTAGGATAAATTGGGATAATTTTGAAGGATGCTGGAATGCAGTTGTCAGGGCTGACGGCGGCGTTGTTGACCTAATTCTCATCCTGGCTGGGGGGGGGAGGGGGGAAAAAAAGCCTTAAAATAAATATAGGAGAAGTTGATTACCTCTAGTTGAGGCAGCTCACTCCCTGTTAATTTATATCTCGTGACTAAACTGATCCCAAGAAGAGTATTTCAGATGGGTGACAGCAATGGCTTTGTGCCTCTGTGGTGCTTGAGAAAAGCACTTGGACGTTTCCAAAAATCCCACCCTGCAGCCTCGGTCTTTGGTAGCCGGTAGCTGAGTTAGGATTGGAGCTGGGCTGTGCACAATGTGTGTAACTCAACTTCCTAGAAGTTCCTATAGGATGTCTTCTCCATTTGCTTTCAAGATGCATCCTAGTGCGTTCCTGAAAGCCTCCTGTGCCGTGTTTGCATAAACTTGCCGTTTTTCGGTCGTTCAGGAGCTGTTCCGCAAGGTACGAAGCATCTTGAACAAGCTGACGCCCCAGATGTTCAATCAGCTGATGAAGCAAGTGACAGACCTGACGGTAGATACGGAAGAGAGGCTGAAAGGAGTCATCGACCTGGTCTTCGAGAAGGCTATCGATGAGCCCAGCTTCTCGGTGGCGTACGCCAACATGTGCAGGTGTCTTGTGACGGTAAGGGCCACCAAAGTCCAACGGGAAATTCCTCTGCACGGGTGGATGGTTCTGCACGTCGCATAAACGTGGCGAGAGCAGAGTTAGGTGTTAGTTTCTGAACGTAAATAAAAATAATTTAGGTGAGGGATTTCTTCTTCTACGTTCGCTGGCCGTGCCTGCAGGCAGAGGGCTTTGCTTGGAGCCATGTGGTGGTTGGAGTTGAGGACGCCGAGCACTTGGCTCTGCCTGCTCACGAGATGGGATGAGTCACAATTTGGAAAGTCCAATTTCTCACTCTGTGTTTCAAAGAAGAGCCCAAGGCGCCAAGCCAAGCTTGGGACGGCCAGTTTTCAGCCGGCGAATGTGGGACAAAATAACCCCCTTCTCCCGCCGATCCTTCATGGCACGCAACGACGGAGCACGGCTCCGCAGTCTTCAGCGCCTAACTGGGGTGGTTTTCAGCAGCGTGTCTGTTTAAAGGAGCCCACGAATGGAAATGTCATCTGTCTCGGGGCGGAGGTGGTGCCAGCCAAGTTCCGAGTGCGGCTTTACGTACGAAATGTCAAACTCCGCTGGGAATCCCGGCGCGGTGCTTAACCGGCGCGGCCTCGCCGGCTCGCGGCGCTGAACACGAAGCGCTTAATAAAACGTAGTGGATGGCTTGTAGGAACCCTCGCTCCCATGTGGAGCTGGGCCGAATTTCTGCTGATGTTTTCCTTCCTTCTCCTGTAGCTGAAAGTGCCCATGGCAGATAAACCTGGGAGCACCGTAAATTTCCGCAAGTTGCTGTTAAATCGCTGCCAGAAGGAATTTGAAAAGGACAAGGCTGACGACGACGTCTTTGAAAAGAAGCAGAAAGAACTTGAAGCTGCTACCACTGTAAGTGCTTTTTTTTATTATTGTTTCCCCCCTTGGAAATTCTCAGAGCTCCCTCTGAAAACAATCCCTTTTGAAGATGGCAGTCAATTTGGGGGGGATTTTGGAGTGGAAAGTTTCACTCTGTCGCTGTGGCTCAGCATAACAAAAAATATTTGCCTGGATTAGTGGGTTTATAGTGGCCTTTTTTCGTTTTTTAGGAGAAAAAGAGTAAACAGGGGCAACAGCATCTGTAAACATAAAACTGGATCTTTTGAAGAGTTCTGCGCTCTGAAAACATGGTTTTTTTAGAGCTGTTTTTCCTGTTTTACAGCCAGAGGAGAAGACGCGGCTCCATGATGAGCTGGAAGAGGCCAAGGACAAAGCCCGACGGAGATCCATCGGGAATATAAAATTCATTGGTGAGCTTTTCAAACTGAAAATGCTGACGGAGGCTATCATGCATGACTGCGTGGTAAAGCTGCTGAAAAACCACGACGAGGAGTCCCTCGAGTGCCTTTGCCGCCTGCTGACTACCATTGGCAAGGACCTGGACTTTGAGAAGGCGAAGGTAGGGCAGGACGGGGAGCGGGAGATGAGACTCTCTGGGCATGGGTGGAAAAATGGGTGTGGGGTGGTTTTATTTGAGGATTTTATTTTTTTTTCCTTGAGGAATTTCTGTACAGCATGAGGAAACCATCCGCTCTTCTGTGGGGAGTTTCATCATGACCTGGCCTCGCTCCCTTGTCTGTGATAGATTCGGTATCGTTTGCAACGATGTTCTCCAGTTGTTAGTTGCTTCCAAATATTTCATCCAAACACACAGTCTAGAAACGCGCAACATTTACTTTTTCCAAGCAGAATGTGCCTCCTAACTTGCAGTTTCCAAAACATTCATCTCTAGAGTTGTCTCTTGACCATCAAAGGTTTATATTACCTGTGAAATCTACCACTTTGTGTGGTTTTGGGCTTAAATCTAAAACCCCCTCGGTGACCGGCCTCACCCCCGCCGTGAGCCTCGGCGGATGCGTTTATTGTGTGTCAGCATCGTCTCCAGCTATGCTGGAATGAAGCAGCTGCTCCTCAGCTTCCAATCCTCCTCCCAATTTTTCCAACAAATGTATATGTAGCACGGAGCATTACGCACTCGATGAGCTTCTCTTGGCACAGACCATCGGCTTCTCCTTCGCAAAAACCAGGCTTGGGATGAAAAAATCATTCAAGGGTTTTGCCAGAAATCAGTCGGACTCAGCTCTGGAAACAAACCAAGCGAATTGTTTCCAGCTGCTCGGGGAAGGGAGTTCCCTTGCCGCGCGCTGCGTTGCAGGGATCACGGCGGATCAATCCTAATCCTTACGGCGAAACGGTTTTCCAAACTGTTTAACAGAGCCTTGACCAAAACAGCGCAGTTTGCCACTAATCCCTCAGGCTAAATACCTTATGCCGTGAACGCAGCAGCAGGTTTGAACGCACCAGAAGTTGGGATTCAATTTCTCCACGTGCTTTGGGAAGAAAAGAGGCTCTGACTTCTATAGCAGTAGCCGAGGGCGTGTTGCACGAGTCCTGGATGTTGTTTTGGTCTTCCCAAACACGGGAACGCTGTGAAAGCCAACGTTTTGGTGTGTCGGCCGGGTCCGCGGCCTCGAGCCGTGGCACCGCGGAGGACGGAGCAACACTTGCAGCTGTCGTGTTACCCGTCGCGAGAAGCTGCCGGTGTCCTGTCCTTGGGGTTTGTTGTTTCTATCAAGATTGAGTGAGAATCCTCCTAAATTTTCTGTTAATGGGGCAGATGATTCATGACGCGTTTTTATTGAAGCCGAAGTGTTAGTGATAGTTATAATCAAAGCTTCTGGACAAAGTCCATTTCAAATATTTTCCTCGTCATTCCTGACTTTGGAAACATTTGCTCTCAGAGCTGAAACTTTCCAAGGCAAGGAACCAAAATTTAATAGGGTTTTTCTTGTTTGTTTAAGGCTTTAGCCAGTTTTCAGCAAAGGGAGTGGGGAAACATTTTATAAAACCTCCCTGCAACTTCTTGTTTAAAACAGACCAAGCCCCCATTTTGAGGGAAAAAGCTTTTTAGAATCAAATTTAGACCTAATGGAGGCTTCTCTAATGAGACCGTTTCATGTCGTGGTGCAAACCGATGTGGATTCCATCACATCACGACTCTTGGGGCAGAGAAGAGCTTGTGGGGTTCCATCTGACAGCTAAGCCCGTGAAACAGCCGCTTGCTGAGCGCTGCTGCCCCCGCTCCGCTTGCCCGACCCTGGCTGAGACACTTCAGGGAGGAAAAGCGTGGAAATGGCGATTCGCAGCGTCAGTTTTGTGCCCGTTTAGTTTCCTGAGCTGGATTTTCTCGGGAGCACACGCACCGATACGAAAAGGAGGAGCTCGGAGGCGGAGCAGGACTCCCCCTTTTTGGTGGCAGCTGGCCAGCAGATGAGCTTAGCCTTTCCACCAAAAAAAAAAAAAAAAATTTTTTTTTAATGAATGGCAAATTTATTACATACATGCAGAGAGTGTAGATTGTTTGAGTAATTAGAAATGCAGGGGAAGCGTGTGCTAAACGAAGGAGGTGCCCACTCAGACTTGTGCCTCGTTTCCTGCCCATCCCTGCACTGCCCACGCTCAAATCCGGCCTCGGGGAGCGAACGAGACCCAGGGCGCACGTCGGAGAGCGGCTCGGAGTCCCCAGATGTGCTTCTGGCACAGACACGCTGTAATGCAGAACCCGCCGACTCCCCACCTGAGGGAGTGTTTTCGTTTTCTTCCAAGACATGATGATGATGATGATGTTTCTCTTGTGCAGCCTCGCATGGACCAGTATTTTAATCAGATGGAGAAGATTGTGAAAGAGAGGAAAACATCTTCAAGGATTCGGTTCATGCTTCAGGATGTAATAGACCTAAGGCTGGTAGGTGCCAACTCCAGTAAGTAAAAGAACATGTTCCCTTTATGTCGGGGCTGGAAGAGCTCTCGTGTGAGATCAGGGATGTACAGCAGAAGTGGGGTGTCATGGGGAGATCTGTGCCCCTTCTGCTAAAGTCCGGCTGTTTAAAGACAAGAAATCCCTCTGTTTTGCCTCAGAATCATAGAATCGTGGAATGGTTTGGGTTGGAGGGGACCTTCAAGACCATCCAGTTCCAACCCCCCTGCCATGGGCAGGGACACCTTCCACTACACCAGGTTGCCCAAAGCCTCATCCAACCTGGCCTTGAACACTGCCAGGGATGGGGCAGCCACAGCTTCTCTGGGCAACCTGTGCCAGTGCCTCAGCACCCTCAGAGGGAAGAATTTCTTCCTCAGCTCTTAATGAAGGCCAGGGTTGGTAGACAGACAAACTGCTTGCCTTGGGTGTTTTAATTTCCACATAACGTTGGACGCGTTAGACCAGTCCAGCCCCGTCGCAGCAGACAGGGTCTCTTTCCCCAGGAGAGGTTTGGGATGATTTCCACCCCCCCCAACAGCATCCCCCGTGCTCGGCTGTCAGTCGTGCTGCTCGGCCGTCAGCGTTTCCACTGCCAGCAGTTGCTTGTGCTGATGGGACCAAAGCGCTCCGGGATGCCTTCCCCACGAGTGAGGGGGACCGGTCAGTGCGGCTGTGAAACCGTGAGGGCTCTTTGTCATGGACCTCATCAAAAGATGGTCCTGTGTTGGCCTGTGTTGCTAGCCCGACTGGGCACCTGCTAGTTGTTCACTGGCCACATTGTGCTGCCAAAAGCAAACGGAGCCTGCGTTCCATCAGAACGTGGCGATGGTGGGTCCACACTAAGCTCCAAAAATGAGCAACCTGGCGTAGACAAGCACACGCACAGCGCAGACGGGGACCTGCCCGTGTCGAAATCAAGCAATGGTTTCGAACGTAGCCACGGAGTCTTCTATGACAAAGGGTGTCTCTACGCCGCGTGGTTAAAGACGTGGCTGGGGCGTGCACAGAGCTCCCCAAACATCTGCAATTCCACCCACGTAGGTGCCGACAGCAGCGTGACTTTAGCTTGACTGGAGTCCTGGGCGGGTTTTATTCACACCTCAAATGGCTGATTCGAAGCTGGTTTGGGGTTTTGTGGAGGCTGAAGTCACCGTTTTGACCGAAGATAATTACCCCGAAAGTTGTAATGAGGTTGTAGCGAGATCGAGAGACAGTCTGGTTATTCTGGGGAGAGATGGATTTGTGCAGGGTATGGTGGAACAGGCACATCAAGCCGTGGAAATGTTTTGTGGAGAGACAGCTCCACCTCTCTCTGCAGGATTCCTGTCTCGGCCATCGCCATCCCTGGGGTGGCAAAACACCATCTCCAGCTAAAACACAGTCGCTTCTTGCTTCTTTGTTTTCAAGGTTTCATTTTTAGGGGAGCAGCCCCATTAACGCATCACAAAAGTGGGAGGGTCAGGCCCCGTTCGCGGCGTTCGGAGTACCCCACTCACGGTGCTCTCCTGGAATTACCTCTGAGCACATGTTTGCTTCTTTCCTAGTGCAACTGGGTTTCCCGGAGAGCAGACCAGGGCCCGAAGACCATCGAGCAGATTCATAAAGAAGCCAAGATTGAAGAGCAAGAAGAACAGAGGAAGGTCCAACAACTCATGACCAAAGAGAAGAGGAGACTGGGTAAAGTAAAAGCCGAGTTGGCTGCTCATTTCACATCCAGTGGCCACAAAGGGAATCCCACATTAAAAAAAAAAAACACAAACCACAGGTTTTTTTTCCTAAAAGTGAACTGGGGGCTGATTATGGCTGAGGCTGGAGAAGGAGCAGACTTGCCATGGATTGGCTGTGTGGGTTTTCCAGGGGCAAATCCCTTGGGTGAAAATAAACACTCACAGGCCAATAGCGCTTAAGTTTCGCATTGATCCAAACCCTGTTTGATTTCGTGACGGGCTGCCAGAGATCTGTTGTAACGAGTCACTGCGTGGCAGTCAGAGGTGCCATCCATTCTTGCGTACTGCAGCGTCCAATTTCAAGAGAATTGCATCTGATTTCGGGAGTAACCATGTTGTCTTTAGCTGTTAAAGCTGCGAGGTGTTAACTGAGCAGGAGAAAGTGTCTTGGCATTAACTCTAATTACTACCAGCCCTTGAGGCTGGCGCTACCCGACGATGAATCTGGCGTGACTGGGAAAATGAAGACTGGGACAGAGCAGGGCAAGGAAAAAGTCATCTTTGGGATTCTTTAATAGTAAGGATTATCAAATGGAAGTGCCATGAAAACAGGGCATAAAGAAAATACAGGCAGACTTTGTCTTAATTGTCCTGAAACTGGCTGTAGGAGAAGGTGAGGAAGTTGGGACTGCCGGGATGGTCGTGTCCAGCCCAGCGCTGCAGAAATCTGCCACAAGTGTGGCTTTCAGTTAGCAAAGGCGTCCGCTCCCTGGCGAGCTCGTGAGCGCACGGTGTGCCCAGATCGCAGGAACACGCGCTGAGAAATCTAACCAGGGAGAATCCCTGCCCTTGAAAATACCGAGGTCTTTTGTGTCCAGGCTGTTTTATAGTAATAAAGTCAGGCAAGCTAGTTCTGTCATCTTAGTCTGAAGAAACACTCCAAAAGACGTGATTTCTGCACAGGATGGTGCTGAGGCTTAGCAGAAACGTGCCATCTTCTTTTCCTCCTTCTGCTGAACTCGGAGACGACGGCTTGCGTTCTGCCGGGGTGCCCGTGCAGCATCGGGCATGAGCTAAGGGTGGTTGTGTTTGTCATCTGGCAGGTGTCCAGCGGGTCGATGAAGGCGGTTGGAACACTGTGCAGGGGGCAAAGAACAGCAGAGTGCTGGACCCCACCAAGTTCCTTAAAATCACCAAGGTAGGTGCCAGCACGAGACTCGTTCAGAGCAACAGAAATGCTGAGGTCTTACCGTACTGTGTCTGTCTAGGAAAGACCTTCACGGTGCTTACACATCAAAACTTGGGGTTTGGGACATTTTCAATCCCCAGAGTTAGTACTGCGCGTAAATAAAGCACAAAGGAAGACTCTGTTGTCTTCTGAATGTCCCTATTTCGTTTGTCCTGAGGGAAGGAGCACACATACACTTTTTCTCGGGTTTATAGTGTCCCTTTAGTGACCCAGAAGTTCTCTTAAGTTGGAAAATCTGTGGGTTTATTAAACGGTGAAAAGAGAATGTCGAGTTGGGGTATCGTGCGCCGTGGAGATGGAGCACACACACAGCTGTTGCTGAGGGCGTCCCAGAAACCTGTCTGATGAGAAATCCTGTGCTGCCTCGAGCTCTCGAGTCCCTGTTCTGCCCCTGCCCGTTAGTAGAACGAGGATGCCACGTTCAATTTGAAAACAAAAACCAAAACGTTCCTGGCGTGTCACAGCTGGCAGCGCCGCGGGGTCGAAAGGTTGGAGCAGTACGAGAAGAGCCGTGTCCGCTTTTACGGCGGTTCTGGACTTCCGAGCGGTGCCGGTCGCATCCCTCAGTGTGTGTTAGACTTTCAAACCCATCCTCTGGATAAGCCTCTTCCCATTATTTTACCGTTAAAGTGGTGATTTTGGGACGTTTGTTTCAGGCTGCAGGTTAGGCAAGCTTGGCGATTTCTCCTTTCTTAATGATTTTCAGAACAGCTTTGGGATTTCTCGCCAAGGAGAACTCCGTCTTTCCCATAAATCAGGGTGTTTCCTGGACATTCCCTTGTCCCGATTAACACCGCTCCCCTTGAATTTCACTCTCAGTGCCTGGATGCTCGGAGAGCTGTAAAGCAGAACCTGGACAGACCGTAGACATTCTGCAGATCAAGCTCAGTTTGTTCCTTGGGAAAGTTGTAAAACAAGACTCCAAAATTTCATTAGCGGGAGGGATTCAGCCTGCTTTTGTCTGGGCCTACAGCTCATCTGGGAGGAGTCCTTCTGCTCCGTTTGGTACAAATACAGTACGAATAGAACCAGCTCCACAACAGCTGCGTGGTCAGGAGAGAGGAGCTTTGTACAAAGAGATCTGCGGGGTCACAACCTCGTGATCAATAGATTCACCTACTGGGCATTGTAAAACCAACATTCTCTTCTTGTCAGACGTTACTTTTTTTACTCCGAGTTTGCAACCTATTGTCGTTCTTTGCCTTCTGAATTCTGTTTGTTGCTGTGAAGATTCCCCCAAAGCCGTGACTGGTAGGTGGAGTGGACAGCAGAACAGTTTCACCCATCACAAACGAACGAACATCTTTCAAGTGCTGACATGCTGTTGCTTTTTCCTCCTTACTGAGCTTTGTGGTTCCCAACAAAAAGCAGCTCCTGGTCATTGTGAACGAGTTTCACTGACGCTTTGGAAGAAGCTGTTTATGACACGTCCTCTGTGTCTGGCTCTGTCTTCCAAAAATGTGTTAAAGTGCATTTTGGTATTCGCAAGACAGGATTGTTGCCCAAGAACACCTTGTTTGTCATCAAGATGTACGATTCGGCCTTGTGATGGTATGTCTCGGTGTGTTTTACAGCCCACAATAGATGAGAAGATTCAGCTTGTGCCTAAAGCCCAGTTGGGCAGCTGGGGAAAGGGCAGCAGTGGTGGAGCAAAGGCGAGCGAGATGGGTAAGTCAGGATGGGTCCTTACCCTCTGCTTTGATACCAACCATCCTTGCCAAAGGTGGATTTGGGTGGGAATGCCCATCTCTGTGTGTCAGTGCCTGGCAAGCGGGGTTGAAGTGGGGCAGGACCAACCTTTTCCCTTCAGTTCTCTCCCAACACTCCGAAAACAGCTGTTGCTTAAACGGTTTTGTGATGCCGAGGCGGCGGCGGTTACTGACCTTGTTTTCGCTCTTCTCTGTGTTGTCTTTGCCATCTCCCAGACTCCTTACGACCAAGTGCCACTAGTTTGAACAGATTTTCTGCGCTGCAGCCTCCAGTCTCATCCGTATCTGCCTCATCCGCATCCTCAGAATTAGATTCTCGCAGGGCCTTAACGAGGTAAGCTGCAGTCCCACGACGCTTTCCCTGCCGGACGCCTGCCCTTTTCACGTGCTGCTCTGGTTACCAAGAAAGAAGAGAATTTCCTTGAGTTTCCAGGAATGGCTGGGTCTTTTTCCCCTCCTCTGTGTACTTTGAGTTAACCGAAAACACGTACATCTTTTATAATAGTGTAAGAGAGACGGGTGGTATTAATTTTTAAAGCCATGACGGTGAATATTTTAGTTTCCACTTTTCAGTCGCCCTTTTTCCAAGGGTACGTTTGGTGGTAGTTAATAACAGGTCAAAAACTCTTCAGCTAAAACATTCTAATAAATAGGTGTGCAGGTTGGATTCAGTGGTCGTGGATTCAGCCAGGTCAGTAGGTTGATTTATCCGGAAAAACACTCCTAAAAACCTTGCAGAAATTTAGGAAACACTCTGGCGGTGTCCGACCCATCCCTCAGGCGTGACGGAGCCTGTGCCCATCGCGCGATGCCCACGTAAGGCTCCCCCCCCCCCCCCCCCCGATTTCAGCAGGCCTCCAGCCACTCCGGCTTGAGCATGAAATGTGCATTAACCCTTAATAACTGATTAACTCTGGACACGGTTTCTGAATGTGCAGTTCATTTAAAATGTCCCTGGTTCTTCCTTCCAGTACACACGAGCTGCTGGACTGTTCTCTTGGGTTTGTCCCTCTGATGTTTTCCCTCCTATTTCACCTAAAACTCCAGCTTACCTGGAGATTATTCCATTTTCATAGAATCATAGAATGGTTAGGGCTGGAAGGGACCTTCAAAGGTCATCTAGTCCAAACCCCCTGCAAGGAACAGGGATATCTCCAACTAGAATTTTTGGTATCGTTTTGCCCATCTTACTTATTAACATAGTACTTAGCAGGACAGATCCTTGGCACCTGTAATCATAGAATCATAGAATGGTTAGGGCTGGAAGGGACCTTCAAAGGTCAAAGGTAACCTTCACTATCTGTAACCATTTTTAATGAAATGGGTGAAAAAAAATACACCACTGATACCATTTCACAGTAAAACAGAACCTTTACAGTGTAAAATTCACCATTGTACGTGTGAAACGGGTGCTGTGAGGACTTTATTGCTTCTCCACGTGTTCTGTAGGAAGCGTTGGCTCTGCCTGTCCACCCTGTGGGTATTTATGTTTGCGCATCCTGAGACTTGAATTAATTTTGATTATATTCTGTGTAGCCACAACTGTAAAAAAAAATGAGACAACAATCCCGCTGGGTTTGGGTTGTGGTTTTTTTTTTTCCCTGCAGTTTACTATAAAGCCATCCAGTATCTTCTCTAATGTTGCCAGCACTGGGAGCAGGGGTGACTCGTACCGTAACCTCTAAGCGTGCGTGTTTCTCGCCCCGCAGTCGCGGGAGCACGGGCAGGGAGAAGAACGACAAACCTCTCCCGCCTTCCCTCTCCCGCCCCAACACCTTCCTCCGGGGCAGCAGCAGCAAAGAGCTGCTGCTCGACAATCAGGCGCAAGAGGAGCAGCGGAGAGAGATGCTGGAGACGGTGAAGCAGTTAACGGGCGGCATGGAGGTGGACAGGAACAGCACGGAGGCGGAGAGGAGCAAAGCCAAGGAATCTGGTAAGCGGCTCTTCCGTAGTCGGGGAATCTTGCTGAACGTGGGAAAAGGCGTAAAGGAAAAACGTATCGGAAAATGCGACAGGTTCCTGCGCAGCGGTGGGGCTGTTTGGCCCGCAGCGATGCGTCGTCGAGCTGTGATGTGCTTCCCAAAAGTTCGTATGAATCCGTAGGATTCATTCGGAGCCGAAAGGCTGGAGATACCAGCAAAACGCCGCTCCGCCGCCGCGTCTTGCCTGCTCGTATTCTGTCGCTGTCGCCGCTGGTTTCTGGGCTCTAAAGTCCCCAAAATCCGGGTCAGTTCTGCAGAACTGCTGCTTCAGTGCCCAGTAAAGCCGTACCTGCCCTTACCAAACGTTTCCCAGGGCCAGAGCAGTGTTTTGGGACTGGGACAGACCGTGCCCAACATCTTTTTAGTGCTGCGTCGTTGCCAGCCTTCCTCCCTCCAAGCAGGTCTCAGTGCAGCGTGGTGTTGGCACCCACTGGGGTGGCCTGTCACCTCATCAGCACTGCAGCTCCCGCTTTGCTCCTGCCAGCTTGGGCTGATTTGTTAATGAGAAGGTAATGAGGACACCTGGGGCGATGTTCTCTGCAGACAGAACCTTTGCAATAAGAACAGTTTCCCTGGGAAACATCTAGAAACTGCTACAGTGAGGAAAACATCTCAACTGCCATGACACGGCACGCGCTGGTCTTGACGCTTTGGGACTTTGTGAAGGACTTCGTGGGGACCGAGGTTTTGGGGACATGATCCAGGAGATTGCTTTGAGTTGTTGCCCATCACAGCGATGTTTTTGAGTTTGCAGCACGCTGTAACAGCTCGAAGTTCTAATTACTTGATGTTGATAGAGTGCTTGGAGGGTGTTGCATCCTGTGTCGCTGCCAGCTGTGTTTCTACAAGAAGGTCAACTTGCAGAAATATTGGGGGTTCATACTGGGAGAAACGTAGCCAAGAAGGAAGTGGCCTGTGCCTGACGATGGGACAGGGAACACACCCTGCTCCAGTGACTTCTGTTTTCAGAATGTCGTCTCTGAAAATGGTGCTGATTTTCCTTTTCCAAACGTTTTCTTTTTTTTTTTCTTTTTTTTCTCCTCATTTTTCTACCAGCCAAGCCTGAAGCTCCCCCAGCTCCAGCGCAAGAAAAGCCTTCGCTATCAGAAGAGGAAATAGAGAGAAAATGCAAATCTATCATTGATGAGTTCTTGCATATTAATGATTTTAAGGTAAGCGAAATTAAAACCTCACTCACTCAAGTCCCACGGGCCTTTCTGCTCTGTTTTCTCCCCAGGAACAGTGTCTTGGTAAGCACTCAGCTCTCACAGGGGTACCAGAAACCGTGGGGCCTGTCAAAATTCGGGCAGCTGTGGCTCCATGAGGGTTTTTAGGCCAGTCGTGTCTCAAACTTGGTTTGTGCCCTGTTAGGAACAGGAAAAATAGCCCAGCTCGTGTGTTTGGAGGAGCAGGATGCGTGTGTATCTGTCATGAATCGCTGAGCAGCTCCGTAACAACAGCAATTTTGGAAGCAGAAAAGCTGGTGGGAAAATAAACTGAGGTTTTTATTCAGCTATCAAAGCGTGTGCTGTTCTGATCTGGGGGCAGATAAAGCAATACTAAATATTGAACGGGCCACTCCAGAGTATTTTTAATAAACATTGAAAATTACTGAGCAGCTGTCATCGCTTCCTAGTTAAAGGTTGAAATTTTGTTTCCCTTGTAAATGGATTTTTAGCTTGCCCAGGGAGTTTGCAGGGAGTGTTACGTGGACTGCAAAGCTGGTGGGTTTGATCTTTTGCTGAAATAAATGTTAAAAACCTGCCAAGTTTGCAATGGCAGCAATAGGGAGTTCCTGGTTCGGCACCCTAAAAGCAGAGTTGCTGCTTCCAATTAAAATCAGAAAGGAATATTCTTATGACAGATTGTTTTGGGTTCACATCTTCTTATCAGAAGAAATTATTAAATCCTGGTTTGGAGGGGAAAAAAAAAAATACTTTTTGATTCCCAATGTCCCCCAGCTTGCTGGCCGGGCAGGTCTCAGCAGGAGGAGCCGGGGCAGCGGGGCTGGGTCACGAAGGAGCCTCCGGTCCTTTTCCTTTTCAAAGTCTGACCCCTGGATGTCTGGGGCTACGGAGCTGCTTCGGTTTCTGCGCTCGCAGATACAGTGACGTGGGTTGGGTTTTTTTTTATGGCTGGGTGGAAAAAGAGTTGAGTTGTGTTAGACAAGTGCACCTCTGGTTAAAAAAAGGTAGGTCAGATTGAGGCAGCTCGTTTGCATTAGGGAGGATTTGGTAACTGTAAATCCGCGGTGCCCTTCAGCCGCGGCGCGTCGTGCCGCAGAGCTTTGGAGTCGTTGGGCTCAAACTTGCGTTAACGAGGCCGTATGTGAGTGTTTGAGTTCATACAGTGCAGAGCAGAGGAACAGAATCACGGAATGATTTGGGTTGGAAGGGACCTCAAAGACCATCCACTCCCAACCCCCCTGCCATGGGCAGGGACACCCTCCACTACACCGGGTTGCTCAAAGCCCCATCCAACCTGGCCTGGAACACTTCCAGGGATGGGGCAGCCACAGCTTCTCTGGGCAACCTGTGCCAGTGCCTCAGCACCCTCAGAGGGAAGAATTTCTTCCTTAGATCCAATCAAAATCTGCCCTTTTTCAATTTAAAGCCATTTCCCCTTGTCCTGGCACTACACACCCTTGTCCAAAGCCCCTCTCCAGCTTTCCTGTAGCCCCTTTAGGTACTGGGAGCTGCTGGAAGGTCTCCCTGGAGCCTTCTCTTCTCCAGGCTGAACAGCCCCAACTCTCTCAGCCTGTCTCCAGAGCAGAGGTGCTCCAGCCCTCGGAGCATCTCCGTGGCCTCCTGTGGCCCCGCTCCAACAGCTCCATGTCCTTCTTGTGCTGGGGACCCCAGAGCTGAACGCAGTATTCCAGGTGGGGTCTCATGAGACTTGAGGGGCAAATAGCTCCATTCCCCGTGAGTTCAGTCTTCGATATTCAACCTGACTGTAGATTAAAAGTGCTGAGCTGCGTGCCGGCGTCTGGTGACAGCAGGGCCAGCCCGCGGCGTGGTCACCTGTCCATCCCGGGGACATGGTGATCCGTCGGGCACGACTGACGGAAGAGCTGTGACCCGAGTGCGCGGTCCGGGGCCGCCAGGCTTGTGACCTGCAGAGAGAAGCCGATCGGGGTTTGCAGAAATGCGTCTGGAGCTGCCAGTTGTTGATAGCTGAAGGCATAACCTAAGGCAAGGAGCAAATGTCTTTAGTCAGGAAGCCCGCTGAGATCCATCAGGTTGGACCCAGAGGTCAGTGGAAGATCCGTGCTGGTGACAGCGGAGGTTTTTGAAGCGTGACATTGAGTGTTTCTCTGAAAGTCTCTTTTTAAATAAAGTGTTTTGGTTTTCGAGGTTATGAAATGCACATGCCAGAAAGGAAATTTTCCTCCCAATGCTCCCCCACCTGTTTTCTGCGTCTTTTATGCGGTGTGGGTTTATAACACGGCATTTCCATGCTGGATCAGGTCAGTAAGGAATCTGACCTGGTGTCCTTTTGACTTGGCTTGATGTTTGATGAAATAATAGGTGTTTTGGTGGCATCCGGAAGGCAATTCCTGTCCTTTCACTGAGCAGCCCTACAGTACCCTGGAGCGTGATTCTGTATTTTAAAAATTGTCATCTGTGAGGTATAAATTCTCATCTTTTTTTTTAATTATTATTCAGTTCCCATCTCAGTGGTGATTTCTGATGAGGTTCCACAGCCTCGTTCAGCACCTTTGCCTGGCGGCTTCACTAAATGCTCATTCCAAAAAAAAGAAACAACCTCTGTGTTTTAGTAGGAAATGTCCTTCTGCCCCGTTTTTTGGTGTTTTCAGCTCAGGAGTGATCCTGTGTGTCGTTCGACAGGAAGCGATGCAGTGCGTGGAGGAGCTGAGCGCCCAGAACCTGCTGCCTGTTTTCGTGCGAGTGGGAGTGGAGTCGACGCTGGAGAGGAGTCAGATCACCAGGGATCACATGGGCCAGTTGTTACATCAGTTGGTGCAGTCGGGAAAGCTGAGCAAGCAGGATTTCTTCAAGGGGTTTGTATTCTGCACGTAGGAACCGGCGCTTTTCGGGAGCCTTCGTTGCAAATGAACAATGTTTGTGTTGGAGAGGAACCATTTCCCACCTTGCTCTGGTATCCTGCCTTCTCCACGCGTCCGTTTCGAAGGAGTGTTTCCACCTGGGTGGTTTTATAAGTAATATAATTATTGTGATATATTTTTAAGCGTTTCACATGCTTTGATGAGTGTAAGTATTTTCATATTTATATAAGTATTTATTTCTAAGCAAAAACGTAGGTGTCTGTTTAAACGTGTGTTGTTTAGATTTCTGGTTTGTGATGCATTTGTCAATGTTTCCCTTTTGGCAAATCACTGAATATGATTAGAAGAGGAGGAAGACAACCAAAATCTTCACATGACATTAATTCCTGGAAGCTCTGTAGCCTGAAGTGCATCCACGGAACAGCAGCCACTCTCCCACTGGTAGAACAGGCTTTGCCCGTATGATGTAATTTCTCAGGACAACTTTTAAGGAGCAAACGTGTCCTGGAGGGGCTGAGAAGGAGAATATGTAAAGATGATGGGAGGGCTGGAGCACCTCTGCTCGGGAGACAGGCTGAGAGAGTTGTGGTTGTTCAGCCTGGAGAAGAGAAGGCTCTGGGGAGACCTTCCAGCAGCTTCCCAGTACCTAAAGGGGCTCAAAGAAACCTGGAGAGGGGCTTTGGGCAAGGGTGTGTAGTGACAGGACACGGGGCAATGGCTTTACACTGAAAGAGGGGAGATTTCGATGGGATCTGAGGAAGAAATTCTTCCCTCTGAGGGTGCTGAGGCACTGGCACAGGTTGCCCAGAGAAGTTGTGGCTGCCCCATCCCTGGCAGTGTTCAAGGCCAGGTTGGATGGGGCTTTGGGCAACCTGGTGTAGTGGAAGGTGTCCCTGCCTGTGGCAGGGGGGTTGGAACTAGGTGATCTTGAAGGTCCATCCCAACCCAAACCGTTCTGTGGTTCTATGTGGTATCAGACTGGTTAGACCTTCCACGGGAGACCCGATTTTCGGCTGCTGGTTCATTTCAGCTCCCTGGGGTTTTGTGTTCCCAGCCTGGATTTGAACTGGTGTCCAATTGTAAAAGGATCCATGTTCCCAAGGAGGTCCCCAGCACTCCTCAGTCCTCGTTGGGGCTTAGGGCAGGATGATGAAACCAGGGATAGCAACAAAAAGCACCCAGCAAACAGGCAGGTGAAATAATCCTTTCAGATACTGGGTTTTGGGGTATTTAGCCCCATCTTCCTGCCTTTGTTTGGATCTTGTCTCGCCGTGGTACCACCATCCGCTCCGAAGGTGATCTCCCTGCGCCGGTGACTGGCAGTGAATTTCATCGCGATGCAATCCAGCGGCTCGTGGGCAAAGTTTAAGCAGCCTGAGTTGGAAATTGTATGGAACAGCAGGTAAAAAAAAACCAAGTATCTACAGGGAGTACACTTGTCTGTGTCCACGCAGTCACTGAGAGTCAAACCGACTCGTTTGAAGTGATACATTTCCATCATGGATTGTGATTAAAGCCCTGCCTGTGTTTCCTGGAGTGTGGATAAGTGGTCGGGATGCCAAATAAGTAGCATCTTGATGAAATAGTGGGATGTGTGGTCTGAATGTGGCCTAAATGGAGTGAAACAGCTCCTGAAGATGACAGGAGGGCAAGCGGTGTTGGGCGGGCACGTGAGAACACCGAAAACCACTGTACTTACTCACGCAAGACAAACTGCTCCGTAATTAGAGGTTATGGGATGAGTACTGGTGACAGTGCAAGGCTGGAGAGATCCAAAACAGGAAACCACTTGGACAAACCTGGGTTGAACTGGTAGAGAAGACGCAGAGAACAAAGCAAAGGAGATGGTTTCTGGCTTTGGAGCACAAGAGAAAATACACGTTTGTCGTCACTAAAGTGGACCCCAGAATCTTCAAGGAGAAATGAATCATGATGGAAGCTGACAGGAGAGCCAGAAGAACGATCATCTTGTACCAGCTGTGGGAGGTGAAGCCACTTGCAAGGTTTTTATTGGAAAGAAGAGTTTTGAGCGATTCTGGAAAACCGTATCCAGAGTTGGGGAGCGATTTTGTAATTCGTCCTGCTGCTTTTTCTGTTCTGGGTGGAAACCTCCCTCTGGTGTATTGAACGTTTTTCTTGTGTTGTTTTACGTACATGGAGACATTCCGCTGACTACCTTCCCTTTGGACTTCTGTTATTAGTAACCCCTTTCTGTAAATATTTGGATTTTTTTCAGAAGGCTCCATTTATTAGGTGTTTTGTATTTATAGGCAAAAATGCTTCATTTACTTTCACAGGTTTTACTAGTTAGCAAACGGTTTGTTACTGGGATGTAAGAATTATTGTGAATGGGGCTTTCTTGGATGTATGTGCTGGTTTTACGATGCCTTTTCCGCATACTCTGCGTGATATCGCGTAGAGAAATTCGCTCCTGGCAGTCGTGAAGCACTGAAAGGATGAGGTGGCAGCGGTTTTTGTGTTACTGTTGTGACTCTCCTCCCTCCTTCCTTCTGCACCAAAGCGTTTCTAAAAGTGCACGTTTGCTCTGCAGGAAAAGTTGCAAATTAAATTGTCTTTGTTTGACATTGTTCCTTCTTCTTTTTGAAGTTTTTCAGATACCTTGGAGATGGCGGACGATATGGCCATAGATATACCCCATATTTGGTTGTACCTCGCTGAGTTGGTGACCCCCGTGTTAAAAGAAGGAGGAATCTCTATGAGAGAACTTATACAGTAAGTGCTCTTCTTCCTCGGTGTGGGTCGAGCTGAGCTGTCTGCTTGGCTATTCCATAGTATTCTCATGGCATGGTTCCCATCAGGAGATGAAAGACAGATAGGGTCTGAGAAAACGCGGTGGGGAGGGAGCTGGCTGCTCCGTAGTCGCCGTTCAGGGGAGCAAGTTTACCCATAAATCTGCTTCAGTCCCGTTTGTTTCAGCCGAGCTGAAAAATATCCCAGTGTTGTACAGTTGGAGTCTTCATGTCTCAGTGTAACAACTGCAACCTGGGCATTGCCTTAAACACGGGCACGAAGCTTTGCCTGAAGACTGGAAACTCTCTCCGGGACCAGCGTTGGTGTATTTTGTACCTGTCCTTATCTATTTGGGGATTAACTCGGAGCCTATCGAATGGTTCTCTTTTCCTGGAAGTGGTGTATTAAGAAAATAATAGCCTTGTCCCCAGAAAGGGTCCTGCTATGCAGCATCCCACAAAAACGAGTGGATCTGACCTTACAGATCAACAAATCCCTGTAATTAGCGCTGTCGTGGCAGGTGCACCACGTCACCGAAGTCTGTTGTATCGGCAGCTCCAGCTGGATCAAATCCTTTATCCCTGGCAGATGCTAACGGTGATTTCCTGCCCCTTGCCCTGCGTTCCAGGCCTGGAGCACTGTTCTGTGAGGATAAAACTGTCTGCTGACAATTCAGATTGTAAGGAAAAATATCTGCTTTTCTTTCATTCTAGAGAATTTAGCAAACCTTTGCTTCCTGTGGGAAGAGCCGGCGTCTTGCTTGCTGAAATCTTGCACCTTCTATGCAAACAAATGGTAAGTGTCCGGCTACACCGTTCGTCGGTCGGAGCTGGATGCAGCCAGTCCATGTTTATGCATGAAGCCTACACATTTCCCGCGGGAAGATATTTAGGGATGGGCCAGGCAGTCCGGATAACCAAGGAAACCTGCCTCTTCCTCCCCAGTTTCAAACCAGGCCTGACGAGGTTCCAAAAAGTTAACTACTTTTTTTTGTTTTTCTCATCGCTTTTCCCTTTTGCAGGTACCTTTGCACTTGGCTTCTTCCAGAAGCTAGAGTGCTGAAATACTGCAAGAGGGACATCCTCGAGGTATTTCTGGGCTCACCAGAAGCAGCAAGTGCCGGGAATCTTGCGAGAGAGCTGTTCTTGCAGACCGGAGAGGTTCTGAGGGTTCGGATAAGCTTCCGACGGCCTCTCGGACTTCTGGGTGCTTATCCGAACTAAACCTGCCGACTCTTTTCAGATTCACCCATCACTAGGGGTAGTGACACCTTCTCACCCTGTAACTTCTACAGCTCTCCTACACGTGTCACAGTTGTGTGTCCAAACAGTTTGGTGGTTTAAAAACTCTATTTTTTTTTTTTTCTTTTTTTTTTTTTTTTTTAAATCCAGCTAAATACTGCACTTTGGATAGTGTCTATTTTAAACCCTCTAAAATCCCTCACTTGCCTTTTTTTTTGGTTGGTGTTGCCGTTCTAAAGCATGCATTCAAATAAGGTCGAATGTTCCGGGAGCGTTTCAGTCCGGCAGTGCAAATAGTGACGGTTTATTTATTTATTTTAGCTTTATGCTTGTTTGGACAGTCGACTTGCTTTTCTTTTCCACTATTCTGTGAAAGAAAAGCTGCCAAGCGCCGGGGTTGAAGCACAGGTTTGGGTGAAAAGAGACCTGGTTGTTCACTAGTATTTTTGTTCTTGTTAGAATTGTGTATGTGCCATCTTAGGCATAAGAAAGCTCAGAAAACAGAAAATAGGTCTTAGCCATACAGAAAGGTCAGCGTGACATTAGAGGATGCGGGAGGTCGAAGTGTATGTGCTGCAAAGGAGCTTTTCCCAAGGTTTGCAATAAATTTTAGGAATCAAAGAGTGAACTTGGTATTCCGTGCCTGAATTTGAGGGCTGATCTCCGCACCGAAATCAGCCACGTAAATAATTGTTTTCTGAAAGTCGCTCATTCACCAGTGCCTTAATGCCAAGGCAGGGGGAGAGCGAGTCACGGAGTGAGTTCCTGACAGTCAGGAGAAGAACCTAAGCCATCTAACTGCCAGCTCCGTGTCACGGCCGTGGGAAACTGTGCCCTGTTCAGGTGTGTCACCTTGCGTAGGTAACCTCTGGCTGAAGTTGTTGCGAACCCCCCGCGTCACGTTATGCCTTGTTTACTGCCCGTCACCGTGGCGTTTGACCCCTCGGCAAGATGTGCATAGCTGTGGCAGGGATGGCGTGTGTGATTTCTCTTGCACGGGATCTCCAGACGTTTTCACTTCTTGTGAAAGTGGCCGAACGGTTCTTTATTTCTCCTGACACAGCTGCACCTCTCCGGCTCGTGTGAACTCCCCTGCTGTTGTCTCAGACCTTTAAAATGGAGAAACTTGTTTGTGTTTCAGAGCCATAAGAAAGTGGGAGCCTTATGGAGGGAGACTGGCCTCAGTTGGAAGGACTACTTACCCGAAGGGGAGGATGTACATACCTTTCTCATGGAACAAGTGAGTTCAGAGTGAGCGTCTGCATAATTAATGATTTTGGCACACTGGGTTTTGGGCCCCAAGTCCCATTTCTTCATTCTCTTCCATCCCGTTCTTACGTATAGTTGGTACGGGCCGTGGGGCGAAGTGCCTGCCTCGCAAAATCGGGGTTAGATTAGTGCAGCACCTGCTTTCTGGAACGCCAGGAGGACGGGCTTGTCCCCTCCGAACCCAGGCACGTGTCTCCTGTCAACTGGCTGCTTCGTTCTTCATCCGGGGGGGGAGGAATGGAGGCCAGGATGAGTTGTGCAGCAAGGACAGACCGTCTGCAGAAGGGGCAGGATAAACGACAGCAATTATTCACACATCCCACCCTGCGTTGTGACCCCGGGGTGAGGTTTCAGACCGGAGAGGAGGCAGGGCTGGTGGAGGGCACCTTGCTGGTGGTGCTCCTAAGGAAGATGCTGGAGGTCTCCCTTTGGAGCTCCAGGTGATCCACTGCCCTGTTTTAGCACTTCGGAAGCAGTGCGCTGCTGGAAGTGAAATGGGTTACCAGGGCCTGGGGCTTGGCGAGGAGACTGTAGCTCCTCTGTCACGTTTTGCAATGAGCTGGGGCGTTAGCTGCCAGTTCTTTGAGCCAACGCCAGCTCTGGTAATTGCATTCCAGCTCCCGGCGTTTTGGTTGAGCAACACATACTTCGGTCTGCGCACGCTCGTGTTGCGCAGGGCCGGAGTCGCTCCGCCGTGCCTGGTGGTCTTCGCTGGGTAACGTAGTGCCCCCGTGTTTGCAAAGTGCTTTATAATCTTTGGAACAGAAGCAGTGTCTGAATCGTTGTAACGACACCTTAGAAGTTGGAAGATGCCAGAAAGAAGGATGAAGCGTAGCTTGCTGCCTCCGTTTGGTGTCATTTCAGCTTAGGAAAGTGTATTTAACTAATTCTCCTCATCACTTCTGGTGTTGCAGAAGTTGGACTTCACGGAGTCTGACTGTTCCAGTTCCTCAGAAGCACTTTCAGAGAAAGAACTCTCTGCGGAAGAGCTGAACAAGCAGCTAGAGAAACTCATTGTTGAGGACAAGGCGAACGATGAACAAATCTTTGACTGGGTAGAGGTACAAAGACTATTTCCACCCTCCCCGCACACAGTTCGTTAACTGCTCTTGTAAATATTTTCTTATCTAAAGGACATCTCTGCAGGCTCCTCCGTAGGCATAGGACACGCAGATGGCTAGGTCTGTGCAACCAACACTTCCAAAGAGTTACAATCTATGTGTAATTAGTTATTTCGTGGTGAGCTTTGGGAAGAAAGAATTTCAGCAGTTTTAGCATACAACTGTGTAACTGCCTTTGAAATACTGTAGACTTCTTGACACTGAAAACACTGCTTCTGGCTACATATTACATTTCAGAGTACACTGCTACATTCTTTCTTCCCAAAATGTGGGATAAAAGTATATCCTTGCTGTTTGCAACCTGACCTATGCAAATTCCCCCCTTGCCCTGCTGCAAAAACATCCTGGGCAGTCACTGGGGCACACATACCTTTCCCAGTGCATTGGACCAGTAACTGTAAGAGAAAATAAAGAGTAAAAAAAAAGAAGCCCAGTCAACCCACCGATCTTTTGCCCCCTATCTCTGGCTGCATCCTTGAAGCCAGATATTTAATCTAGCGTCTGAAATTATACTTGACCTGATTCATTTAGGTCTGTGCTTACAGCTAAATCTCGGCTTCATTTCAGTTATTTCTGTTGCTGGAGCAATGTGTTAGAAATGTCGTTTTTTTTCTGCTGCCATTGGAAACGTCGAGAGTGGAATGAAGGCAGCGCTGAAAATCTGGGGACAGCCACAAGCTCTTGTACTCTTGGACAAAGTACATAGCCGTTCTCTGAACTTCTTCTACAAAGCAAACAAATCTCCATCAGAGGAGCACGGTGTAAAATTTATTGAAAAAGCCTAAAACTCTTAGAAAATGCATCAGGGCATTGTAACAGCCGAGTGTTGTTGGTGTGGTCGGCTGCTGCAGACAAATGACTGGTTGTGGGGTAGTTAAATGGTATACTGGCCCCACCAGAACTGTTGCTGCGTGTTGCCAGTTTCAGGAAATGGGGAAGCCGAGCTTTTGCAGGGGGGCGAACGGGATTTCTACGGCAGCAGCTTTTGCCGAACTTGACCTTGCTGCCAGATTCAGCGGCGGAGTTTGGAAACGGTTGCTCTGGTGCAGCGGCATGGTTTTAACTGGTCCATTTACTCCTGATTTCAGGCTAATCTAGATGAAAGCCAGATGAGTTCACCGACATTCCTTAGAGCTTTAATGACAGCAGTTTGTAAAGCAGCTATTATAGGTGAGTAACTTCCAGCGTAAACACCGGACAGACCAAACCTGCAAAGAATTATTTTTCTGTTTTCAGATTTATATCATTTTTCCATCCCCTGAGGCTGTTGTTGTTTTTTTTTTAATCACACACTAAGACTTCTGCACCATATTGAATTCTAGTGCTTGAGAGCAGGATGTCCGCTCCCCCTGCGACAGCCGGGCGCTTTGCCGGTTACGGTGTTCCCAAGGCTCTGGCATGTCCCGGGGACCTGAGCAGCCGTTTCAGACGACTCTGAGTAACACCAGGTTGTTGGTTGATTTTTCTAGTGAAGGTGGAAACGCACTAGACGTCATTAAGATAATTAGCATTTCCACTCCTGTGTCAGCGAGGACACGGGGGCACTCTGCACGGAGATCACCACGTGCGAGTCGGAAGCGTGGGCTACAGAAGAGAAGTGAGATCGTGTTTCCGTCTTGTTAATAGTTTTATGTCCAAAGTTGCATGGGGGTGCTCCGCTGTCGCTGATCGCCACGTGTGAGTCGGAAGCGTGGGCTGCAGAAGAGAAGCCAGATCGTGTTTCTGTCTTGTTAATAGTTTTATGTCCAAAGTTGCAATTTTGGAAAGACAGTTTGTGTGGATTGCTCCAATGTACAGCAGTCAGCTGGAAATGGAGGACAGGGTGGGTTCCCATCAGGCATGTGAGCCTCAGGGGCGCTTGACTAAAGAGCTGCAGCCAGAAGCATCTGGTTACTTCACTTGGTTCTCTTTAACTTTACTGGTGGCATCTGGCAAGACACAAAATGGTGCTTTAGAGCACCCAGTTCTTCTCTTAGCTGCGAGAGTCACGCTGGGTGGAGAGAGCAGTCTGAACTTGGTCTTGTTGCCAGGGGAAAGACTTTCTTCTCCAGTTTGTCATCTTTTCCCAGCTCCTTTCTTCTCCCCGAGAACAGAACCTTTCTGATGCCACCTAGTGTTAATGGCGGAACGGCGCGGGATTTGGTCGCAAATGTGGAAGGGTTCCCTGATGTGTATCAGGAACTTCTTCTGCGTTACGCGTTGGCCTTGCCTCTAATTGAGGGGGTTTCCCTTTTGTTTTCAAAATACCACCTAATTCCTGTTGCATGTTCTACTTAAAAGCTGCTGAATAATTTATCTGTGTTGCTGACGGACTTCTAACGTGTGTTTTTCTATATCCCTGATTTCCTGTGTCATGTGCAGCTTATGATTCTGTTTCTGCCTTAGTATTTTTAGAAAAAAAAAATTGTTTACTTTTCTGAAAACCTTCTATGTGACTGGAATTTTAGCCCTAGCCATTGTACGCGCTTCGGACATCGCACTGTCTGTGGAAACACAACGATTTGCACCACGGAGTAAGGTTGTAGTTCTGTGTGTGTCAGCAGGCTGGTGAGGGACCGGGTCGCTGCAGATACCCCAGCTGAATTTGAGGAATTGGAAGAACCGAGACTTCCAAAAAAAGCCATTGATCAGAAGTACTTCCTGTTGTTCCTCGTCCTCTTTTCTCTGCACGCCAACCTGGATCTCTGATTTCTATTTGAGTAAATAAAAGATCTGTCCCTGCTGCTGCGTACCAAAGCTGACCCTGTTCTCTTCTCTTCCCCTCAGCGGACTCTTCCAGCTTCCGTGTGGACACTGCTGTTATCAAACAGAGGGTGCCGATCTTACTCAAGTATCTAGACTCAGACACAGAGAAGGAACTACAAGCACTTTATGCACTACAAGCATCAATAGTAAAACTTGATCAGCCTCCTAGTAAGTGTTGTCCCTGCACTGGGAATTTGAACCCTGACAGCGTAAGGGAGAAGTTGTTTCTCCAAGAGTAAAATCCAGCCCTAGGGTCTGGAGGAGGATGTGCTTTTCCTGACAGTGGAAACAAAATGTTACCATTTTACGTAGCAGATGAGAGAAGACAGTTTCTGCTTGTCCAGATTCCAGCTTGCAGAGCAGCGCAGTTCCCCTTCTCCTCTTGGGTGCTGCTGTAAGCAGCCGTGCAAAAGGAAGGACAAACCTCTGTTGGTACAAAGAGGAGGGAGGAAAGAGCAGTAGAAAATTTTATCTGTTGGGTTTACAACCCCTGGATGTGTGAGAGCACCGGGCGTTGTAATTGCATTGCTGCACCACAGATGTCTGTGGGCTTGGAGGGGGTAAAATGAGTAGGGACAACTGATGAGTCTTGTCCCAGAGGCAGCGCGGAAAACTTGTTGGAAAAGAGGTGAGGGAGTTGCCAAAGAAACAGGGATAACCTGGGGAGCTTGCAGCACAAAATCAGAAGGGGCCCAAAACTGTTCAGGAGGGCCTGTTGTGATAGGACAAGGGGTAATGGTTTTAAAATACAGGGAGGTAGATTCAGATAGGATATTAGGAAAAAATTTTTTACCATGAGAGTTGTAGAACACTGGAACAGGTTGCCCAGAGAGGTGGTGGATGCTCCATCCCTGGAGACGTTCAAGGCCAGGTTGGACGAGGGCCTGAGCAACCTGATCTAGTTGGAGATATCCCTGTTCCTTGCAGGGGGGTTGGACTAGATGACCTTCCAGCCCTAACCGTTCTATGATTCTACGATAACCACCCAACTCGATCATCCTTAGCTTTAAGGCACTGGTGGTTGGTTAGCCCTCCTGCTGAGCCATGCAAAATCAGGTGTTGGAGAGGAGCCGGGCTGCCCGGCTCCGCGGTCCAGCGAGAGGAGGACAGGCTGCTGCAGATTCTGATCCCTAGATAATACATTCCCACGGCTGCTTTCCCTTTTCTGTGGAGCACGTGTTATCCCACGGCATCAGAGGGACCTGTTTTCCCTCTCAGCTGCAGAAGCCATAACTCAGTGACAGACCTTCCTTGCACTTGTATCTGCATCTCTCCCATTAATCCCCTTATCCGTAACCGCACCTCCGTCCGCTGGCTCGGACTGCAGAGCCCTGACAGCTGTTCTCTCCCGTTATTCCGTCCTCGCAGATTTGTTGCGGATGTTTTTCGATTGCCTGTACGACGAGGAGGTGATATCGGAGGATGCCTTCTACAAGTGGGAAAGCAGCAAGGACCCAGCGGAGCAGAACGGGAAAGGAGTAGCGCTAAAATCCGTCACGGCGTTCTTCACGTGGCTACGAGAGGCCGAAGAGGAGTCGGAGGATAATTGAAACTTAAAATACAGAGAGGAAAAAAAAAAAAAAACAAAAAAAATAAAAAAAAAAGAAACAATTTAAGTATTTTTTTAAAAAGTTTCACGTCTTCGCCAATCACAGTGCAGAAAGGCCAATTCTCGCGCAGACCCCCCTTCCCCCGCACAGGCACGAGTGGGAGAGGTAAAAATAAACACAGAGGTGATCATGGAGGAAAAAAGGTACTTGAAAACAAAAAAAGTAAACTTCAAACCTGAGGGCGGGAGCACTAAACCAAAATACATGTATTATTTATAGAAAATATTTTCTGTTTTAATCTTTTTTTTGTTTGTTTTTCTTTTCTTTTTAAACAAGGACTCATACTTACAAAAAACACAAAGCGAAACAAATCTGTTTAGCAAAAAAAAAAAAAAAGTTGGAAACTTTTAATTTATTATTTTAAGGACTGCAAATGTCAGTGTAATTTTTAAATTTGCAGTTTCTGTAAACAAATTGTATAATAGAACAAAAGCAGAGAAATAAATTTCCCTCCCCTTCATATGCACCTCAAGTTTTGTTTCAAAGCATGATAAGTAGACAAAACTTTCAAGGGGGTTGGGGTAAGCTAGATGAGGAAGAGATCAATTTTTTTCTTTTTTTTTTTTTTTAATTGTCATCAGATTTTTCTGCCTGCCTCTCAGCTTGCTTCAGAAATTTAAAAAGAAAATAGTAATCAAAACGTACATAACCTTGGAACGGAGGAAATACATTTGAGAATACCGCTGCGGACCAGAGCGCTCCGAAAATAACTCATTCAAAACAGTGCTACCCTGGGGAAAAAGTCCTAGTGATACTTTCAGAACCTTTAGAGCAACTTTAAGGCTTGTAAATACATAGAACAAATATTTAAAAAAAAAAAAAAAAAAAAAGAGAAAAAAAGAAATTGACTCAATACTATTTCTTTTCACTTTCAAAATATAAAGAACAAAATAAAGACAAACATTGCAAGTTTAAAAAGAAAGTAAAACGACTTCTCCTTTGACAGCTGCTGAATGTGTGCACCATCTCGGAGCCGTGCCGGTTTCCTTTTCCGTGTCTCGCCCCTCGGTTCCAAACTGTGTACATCTCGTGTGTGTATGCTTGTGTGCCGGCCAAAAGAGAGGGGGGAGAGCAATCGTTGTTTTAAAAAAGGAAAAAGATTTTAAAAAAGGGGGTTGCTGCTTGGGAGACCTTTTCTGCAGAGAGAACTCAACGGCCGACGCGCAGCCGGCCGGGCCGCTCTGCCGCGTGGGTGCGTTTGGTTCCCGGCGCGTTGCCGCGAGGATGGGAGACGACCTCGGGGGCGCTCGGTGCCCGATCCCAGCTCGGTTTTCCGGTGTCTCTCGTGCGACTTGGATCAGCGGCGTCATCGTGGGGACTTGGGACCCTGGTGGCTGCGGAGGTGGCAGCTGCCCGAGCAGAGATCCGACAGCCCTTCGCCGTGGTTTGTGCCTCCGTCGTTGCTGGCGTCTGCCGCCACCCGTCGCGCCCGCCGGTTGCCTCGCTGCGCCCAAGGAACCCGAAGGTCCGTACGGGTGAAACTGCAAGCATCCCACAGGAGTCAAGAGGTGGACCGGGCGATGTGGTGCCTCTCCCTGCTCTGCCCACCCCATGATGGTGTCTGAAGCCGGAGCGCAGCCCGGGCACGGATCGGAGTGGTCGCGTCGCAGCGTGGTGTTTTCCGTGTGCCCAAAGGGACCTTGGCCGTGCCCCGACACCGCGCGGTCCTCCGAACTGAGCTGCTGCTGGGCACGTTGAGTCTCTCGCGTGTCTCTCTCCAACAACCAAAGATGACCTGTGGCTCTCACTGTGGAGAAGCATCTGCCATAGCACAGCCCGCGAAGTTCGCGAAGCCCTAAAAACGTAGTTTGTGGACTGGTCCGTGGACCACAAGGAACCCGCGGAGCGTTTGCTGGTGGTCTGCGCAGCGCTGGCTGCTCACACGATGCTGTCGTCTTCTTTTTCAGCTGCTAAATCACTTTTTTAAGAAAAAAAAAACAGGAAAAACAAGTTAAAAAAAAAGGCTATGAGTACATGAAATACTTTCCCAATCTTACTTTTACATGTGAACAATTGCTGTACTTGCATAAGGATTTACTGGATCACCAAGGGGAAGGGAGGAGGGTGCCTGGTTGTGGCTGGAGGGGAGATGTCCACCACACGCCTTCCCTGTTAACGCGTGTTCCACGCCATGAATCCGAGCTAGAGAATCCATGGCCTAAGACACTAGAGCATTGTTTGGGTTTTTGGTTTTTTTAGTAACAATAAAACACTTTTCTCTGATGTTTTGTTAAAAAAAAAAAGAAAAAGAAAAAAATATTCTCCCCCTTACTATATGTATGTATCTGCGTGTACGACATCAGCGACACCTCGTCCTCAGCCGCTTCCCCTCCCGGCCTCGCAGCGAGCCCGGCGCTCTCCGGATCTCCGAAAGGCTCGTCCGCACGGACACTCCACCCAGCAGGTCTCGAGGTGCGTTGGTTAAACCTCTGCAGAAGGTGGTGTGGGCGCTCTTCTCGCAAAAGCTCATTTTTGAGCCAGAACGCGAGCGGAGTGGGTGCGTGATGGTTTGTAGCAGTTAATTAGTCAAATTAAATGAATGCAAATTTGTATGTAAATGAGGCCAAACACTGGTCAAGTGGGTGAGCGTGCCCGGCGACCATCCCCTCAGAGGATGGGCCGTGTCAGACCCTGCTGGGAACGCGAGTGTGCGACATGGGAGCTGTGCCGTGCAAGGACTGCGGTGAATCGGAAAGGAGGAAGTCACTGTAGAGCTGGTGAACAGCCGTGTGAATCAAAGTGTGGCAGGGCAGGAAGTTGGGAATCTTCTGACTGAAAGAGTTGGAAAACCACTGGCTGGAGGTTTTCATGGGAATGGTGAGTGTGTGGGTGGAGGAGAGATGAGAAAGTCTCCGCACTCCTTGTTTGAGCCTTCAATGTTAAATCTTCCAGGGGGGTGAGAACTTGCCCTGTTGAGTGTCCTGCAAACGCCAGGAAGGGAGTTTTCGGAGGGTTTCGGAGTGTTTTCAGGATTGCCCAAAGGCTCTGCAGCATGGCAAGCTTTGCGTTTCCTGAAGCTAGATTAGTCAAGCCGCACGTGAAGCGCTGTGAGCAGGTTATGCACGAGACCTGGAGGTCTCCCGCTGTGGAGATGTTCCCTTGAGGTTCAGCTTCCCACAAACATCACCGCGAGGAGCGTCTCTGACACGTCTTGGGACCTAAACTGCTTCCTCTGCTCCTTGTGCTGTTTGCCACGCGCCACTCGCTTACCCACACCCGTACCCAGACGTTGCTTTTCAGTCATCTTCTAGATCAGCATGGGTTTGCAGGTCCTTGTGGCTCCTCAGGATGTGGCCTGTGGTCCCAGGAGATCTTTGCAACATGTCCCCTCCTGAAGGGTATTAAAATGAAAAAAAAACTGTAAGACATACGTGAAACAGAAATGGGAATAATTAATTAGTTAATTTTGATTAGATATAAGGAAGAAATTTTTCACTCTGAGGGTGGTGAGGCACTGGCACAGGTTGCCCAGAGAAGCTGTGGCTGTGGAAGTGTTCAAGGCCAGGTTGGATGAGGCTTTGGGAAACCTGGTGTAGTGGAGGGTTTCTCTGCCCATGGCAGGGGGCTTGGAACTGAATGATCTTTGAGGTCCCTTCCAACGCAAACCGTTCTGTGATTCCATGATTTTATGAAAGAGGTTCTCATGGGAATGTGATTTGTGAGAACTTTGTTTTACGTGAGGGGAGATGAGTTGTGGTTACTCCTACCTAACACTACAGCAAAGCCTGAGCAGGGAGGACAGCAGATTTCTGCCAAGAATAGTAAAAGTTTGAGTGTGGTGGTGTTTTTGTTTTCTTCCCAGTCTTGGTCCTGTAAGGCATTTAAATGCATCCAGGCAGGCTTGTGAGCGTGGCAGGGAGTTAACGCAGCTCGGCAGGAAGGAGCTGTCGGAAGCCATTCCCACCGCTGGAAGCCCTTCTTGTGCTGAGGCTGTGTGCTGTCGAAGGCACAGGCGAGGAGGAGCAGGTGCATCACTTACATCCCTGGTTATTGCTGAAAACGCCCCCAAACCTGAAGCAGTCAGACAGAAAATTCCCAGGACAGGTGTCTGCCTGAGGCTGGTTTCTTTCGAGGAAAGTGCTTGTAGAAAGGGATCAGCCATTTCTGCGAAAGGTCAGGGAATACACCAATACCAGACGTTGTGCTCTGTCTGCTTGTGTTAACACATTTAGTTTTTAACCACGTTTTCTCAGGAAGCTTTGGGTCCAGGAGCAGACCTTGGTGTGTGGAAAAGTCTTTTGCCCAGGATTAGCACTCCCAGGTGCAGGAGTGGGTAGAGCCCAAGTCGATACGCAGCAGGGAGGCTCGGGAGAAGGGATCTGTCTGCAGAGGTGGTTTTTAACATGCACAAGGCAGGTGTAAGCCAGTAATAACTAAAACTGGTTGTTGCTTATGTTCCTGTGAGTCACAGAGCTTTTGGTTCCAACCCTGTAGACCGTTTTTGTCTGACAAAGGGAAAAACGGGGCCTTGAAAAAGCCCCGTTAACTCACTGAGCGTCCGTTTGAAACCAGCTGGAGATGTCGGCATCTCGTTGCCCAAAGGGTGGCTGTGGTTGTTCCAGCTGTGTTTCGTTCCAGCGTGAGTCGTTTTTACAGACGAAGGGACCTGAAGCTGGTCACCTTGTCAGAAGTGTTTGCTTCCAACAGCCGTGCCCCTGGCGCTGCTCACTTCATTTGTTTCACAGACATGAGAGGGTTTAGCTTTGGGGGGCAGTCGGCTCAAAATGGGACCCCCCCCGGCACGCTCTCACGCCCTTAGATCCAACACCTCTGGCCTCGAGGCACGGAACGGCCTTTCGGCGAGTTGGCTGTTGGCCACAGCTTGGTACATGGTGACAGTGAGATGCTGCGTGGTGGGAGTTTGGTCAGGGCTGCTGTGCACTACGTGGGAACGAAGCCATCGGAGATGTTTGGGTTGGCGAGAGCTTGGAGCTCCTGCTTCACGCAGTCGGTCTGGCCGGGAGAGCGTGGCCTTTCTGCTCTTTGGAAGCCTCTGCTGCTACCTGATCCTAGGCCAGCGGAGCACCAGCAGGAGCATCAGCAGAAGCATGAGCTCTTCGCACGCCACTCTCTTAATAAGGTGCCAACCCGGAGGCTTGCACGAGACGCTGTGCGCTGGTGGAAACTCCCAAGCGATGGTTTGACGTGGCCTGGGGGCCACGTGGAGGCTGCAACAACCATAGGATGGAGTCTGAGGGTGAGGAGGTCCCAGCCCAGCTCTGGGGATGGATAACCCGCAAGGAGCTGTTGCAGGAAAACCACGGTGATGGGCAAGCAGCTGCGGCAAGAGATTGATTAACCCATCGGCTTCCAGCAGCGTGACTCAATCCCTGCTGACGTCTGAGGAAACTTAACTCAAAAGTCATCTACCCTTGTGTTTCCCAAGAGGCTTCGCTCACCACCTGCGGTAACTGTGATCTGCTGAGATAACTCCTGCCTGTTTAAATGCTGCTGCAGGGGTGCCTGACTGCGATCCATGGAAAGCTTTGGTCACGTGGCACCCCTTTTCTTTTCCTCCTTTCCAGCTGCTAAATTGCGCTGGAACGGCAACAGAAATAAAAGCAGCTCCCACTCCGTTCAGCGCTTTCCAAAGGGGAATTTGTCCAAGGGTGCAGTTGCCGTCCCAGCTGCAGGGATGGTGGTGCTGGGGTTGCAAACGTGAGAAGGGGGCTTGGGGAAGGCAATGGATGCTGTAAGTTAGGAAATCTTTGTATTGCAGAGCGAGCAGAGAGAACGGTAAAGCCTGGCTCTGGCACGCTTGGTTGTCCTGTTGCAGCCCCCTGCGAGGTTTAACAGCAGATGTGGTCACGAAGCGGAGTCGTGCTGACCTCGTGGGGTACAGAGCATTAACAAACGAGAAGGGGAGCACTGCGAGAAGTGTTTTGTCACAGCGTTGCAGAAAAC